TCAGTCGTATTCCCTCCTGACGTCAGAAATATCTCCACGAACGCTTATGGATGTCCGTCGTCTCAAAAGATCTTTCTGGGGTGTTTGATCTCGTCTCGCTTGACGACTGTCGAAGTGCAGGGACTTTCTATCCGACGGAAAAGAACTCGTGTAGAGATTCTTTCCATTGCACAGGGTGATTGCCAGTGTAACTTTATACTTGTTTTGGGATGGAGAGTTACTTGTATGCTGTGGAAGCCGTAGTTGGTCGTCGGATTGGCATCAGAAAAGGTCAACAAGGAACTGAATTTATTTCTCCGTTTTCTCCTCTAACGTGGATGATGGCTCCGTGGTAATTGTGGTCAGTCGGTCCTTACAGTGGTCAAATTATCTTTTTCAAGGATGACAAAGACATAGCCAACGCAGTACACTCAATATTTGAATTTGTACTTCTCGAACGTCTGTCACTCGAACGTTTGACGAGCGCCATAGAATTTGGCCTGAAGAATGTTAACCGCATCGGCGGGCTCTTTATCTGATCATATGAAATCCCTTCGAATGTAAAGAAGATCTGGAATCAGGATACCACGAGTTCCATGCAATCCGGAGCTCCGGCTGTCGTTCTTCTTATCGTATCTTTCTTCTCGACTCTTTCGACTGCGAGATTGTACAGAATTCCCCAATATCTAAAAATGGCAAATCGAACTCGCTGTCTAAAAAGTCAGAACACAGATTTATTACCCCCACTGTGTGCTTCACCTTCACTATATATTTTGCTGGGGAGTCGAATTTTCGCCTTATATTAGAATAAGACGTGTTTTTAGAAGCGTAAATCACATGAACTGATAATATTTGCAATGGTGTCGCCCCTTGCTACACCGCCAAAGTTGCCTGGTGAGAATAAAATACTCCTGTTTGTGCTCAGCAGTCAGCAGGGTTAGATCACAGTTGGTAGCCAGTGATGGGAAGCGGACGGTGACCTAACCCTAATCCTAACCTCACCAGTAAACGTTAGCCGTTAACCCTAACGGCAACCCTAATCCTAACCCTAACAGAAATCGTAAACATAACTGTAGCCCCTAGGCATAGGCGTAACTGAAAAACCTAACCGTAATACTTAAACCTAATCGTACGCTCAAACTCTAACCGCAAACCGTAAACCTAAGCCTAAAGGCATAACCCTAACCCGAAAATCGGAAACTATTAAACCGGTACCCTAATCCTAACCTCAACCGTAAAACGGAAGCCAAATGGGTCACATGTGATTATGGAGATTCACAAAATAGTCCCAGTAAACAAACCCCCAGCCACCTGTAATGCGGGACCTGGCTACCAACAACGATCCAGCCGGCAGCAGTACAGAGCAATTGTCGGGACTTCCATCATCAGCATCCTTCAGGCAGTCGGAAAGTTGCTTATTCTAAAATTGGACATTATTCATTACTGATGATGCAATTAGTAGGCGTTCACTATGAAATCTCTCATGACAGTATTGAGAGCGTTCACAACTTGGCGCAAGAAAAACTTTAATTTATCAACTAACTTTTAATTAGCACAAAATTCAGCTGGTTAACATTGACCTACTGCCGCGCCCGAATTATTGCATCATAGTGTTTACTTATTTTATTTCAGTATGTTTAATTAATTTGGCTTAGCGGCTTTCAATCTTTGGAAGGAGCATGTACATTCCAAATGCATGCATCTTCAGATTTCTGTGTCGTTCATAACAGTAGTTTCCTATTGACTGGTGTTATAATACACTCTTCGCGTGCCGTTCATACTAGACTATAGTCATGACTACGGATTTTGGGTTGGCACGCTATCTGGCGAGTCACCACCACCTTACGATGAATTACCCTTATTGTTAGTCCACTACTGTGCTATGTAGTAGTAGCGAATCCACTTTGGGTAGACGAGCTTTCAACCCACTTACTACTATCCGTTTGGAGTGGTGTCCTAACAACCTGTAACCATACTAGAGGCTTTTGCTGGCGGGGTAATTATTAAGTTATAATCATGTCAGCGGACTGAAGGCCTGCGCAGTCTTTTCATATGTGACAGTTGGTGGTATTTCGTATTCCAAGATGTCAATGACGAGGATGCTTGTTGAGAAAAGCTGACCAGTTGCCTGAACAGATTACACCCAATTAGCGCGCAGCGATGGAACTAAAACACGGCCATCATTCTGACTGGTGCACTTCATATGTGGGGGGACCCTGTGCGTTCACATTTGTGGATTTAAACAAGGGAACGGCGGAAACACGAAGTTGCGTTTCGAGTAACGTGTGCTGCCGAATGTTTCCATCTTATTCCCTCCAATCAGGTAGCTTCCGTTTCCCCATTCACGCTATTAGAGGTGGCCTGGGGCAATTTCTAGAGGGTGGTAGTAATGAGTCAATTTGACTTTTAGCCGTCCCGACACCCACCAGTTGCCTTGGTACCCCTGTCCGGTATTTAGGTTTAGAATCTTACCGACACCAAGACCAGCTGGCCCTCTTAAACATAGATCTTTTCGCAGTAGGTTTCTGACTCTTAACGTAAAATTCTGGGAGAGATCTCCTCCTATAAAACTCTCCGTGCTACTGTGAAAATCGAAAACCAAAGCAGTTTCAGTAGGCGAGAGGTCTTCTTAGATAAGATAGCATAAATGCAGACTGGTGAGGTCTTAGCACATCCCATCTATATCGAATTCTGGGCTTTAAAGATTTATAACTTTCCATAGTTCGATTAAGAAGACCACTTGACGAGTCTACCCTCACTTGCTTTGTTGTGTGACAATGACGTTAATTATAACTAGTGAGTAATTAGAGAAATAGAGTTATATACATTTTTTCACACAAGTGAGAGATGGCGAATATGAGAGAATAATTAGAGGTAGTTAGTATCAAGGTAGTCAAGCGACGGCGATTTAATATGGATGCAGTAAGGGTTGTGAAGAGCCCTGTCAAGGAGGAGAGGAAGGTTAGAGGAAGATGGCGTGGAAGATAAGACTAACTTAGTGGGTTAGGTGATTTTTTAACCAAGGTGAATTCTGGCTCCGTACGAAGTGATCACAAGATCGTGCCTGTGTAACTTGATTGTGAACGTTTTTTGCTACTGTCGGTGGACGCTGCCTCAGTGGTTTTGGGTAGTTCGGTGGAAGATCCTGTAAATCACCCGGAAGGCATCCTGTGGATTTATGGGATGCGCGACATTACTCCCCCAACGGCACAATCTATCATTTCTCGCCGAGACTGATAATGACTGCCATATCCCTTCCGCCTCTCACTTCTGTGAAAGAATGAACACAGCTCGAGTTCTCTACTTAACCGCATGTTTTACTTAACCCAGAAATTTACTGGCCTGATGCGAATTCACCAAAAGCCAACGTATATAAACCAAATAGTCCCTTAAAATTCTGTTCAGCAGCCTAAAAAGTATGAAGAAGGACAACAGAGGGAACCAGCAAAGAAAACCAAATTTCACTTAACTCACTACTTTCAAATGAGAAGGTAGCGAAACTCAAGTTTACTATAGTTTTATTCCTTTGCAAATGAGAGCTCACCAAAAGGGACAATGAGGCAAAATGGCTCAATGCTATCTGTCAGGACTTTATTGAAAAGCCGAAAGGCTGTTTTTGAAAAGCTGAATAAGGTACTTAAAATCGATTCGGCTGGTGTATGGATCGACAAATATTTGTCTCAGAGAATCCAAAAACTCCAGAGTGTAGTTTCAGACACACTAAAACGGGGGTTTACATTTCATATTTAAGGTTCAGTATGATTGCTTTTAAAGCTTTCGTTGCCCACCCCAGTGGCATCTGCACTAGGGGTTCGATTGTCAACGTAGCTGAGCACAATGATAACCAGAACTCACGGTTAACGCCCATTAACCGACACGCGGCCAGCATAAGAGGTTGCGTAGCATTGCTACCGAAAACCACCGTTATGACGTTTGGCGTTCTTTTCTAAAATTCCGCTGCCTCAAGGTCATCCAGCCCCGACAGCGAACGTTTCCAGATGCGCTGACCTGCAGCAACTCGGCCAACTTAAGCTCGGGCACACGTTCAGTCACACAGTCGCAGCTGCTCATACGCCACTTGAATGCACCGCCGCTCGGTGAATGCAGCTCAGACCGATTGGACATCTGGACTTGTTCCCCACAAAACCTACGAAAGCAACTGTCACCACTCTCTTCGTCTCTCCCTATCTCTATGAGGCCTCACTGTACACAGTCAACACTAGCCCTGATCTGGGTCGATGGATCCGACAATCGAAAGTCTGGCTAAAGTCAGCCTGCGGTGGCAAATTCACGTCCTCGGCATTGGAAAAGGGTTCACTGCTTCCAGCGTTTTTTGGCTTTTAGAAACAGTCAGAAGTCGCTGGCGGGCCAAGTCAGGTAACTACAGCACTGTCTGAGGCTCTGTGTGCTAAGGCGGGTTGAACTTGCTAAGTTTCGTTTTGAATTTACTTTGAACTTTTCTAAAACAGTCAGTTGGCACCCTTCAGTGCATGGGGAAGGGAATTTATGTCTTCCATTGTCAGTGATCATTATTTCCTGGTTCTCGTTCCATGGTGTGTTACAAATATGCCGGAGACATCAGACAAAAGTCGTCGAACCCTGGAATAAATCCCATAATTGGCAATAGTTACTGTCAACTATCTTTAGTGCAAGTGTCGTCTTTGCAAAAAAGCAGTTATAACTCTTTCGCACAGGGAATAAATTGATCATTTTTGATTGCCGTTAGGAAAACCTTCGGATTTTCTGGTTGCAAAGGTTGACAATTTGGAATAAAAGGGAGCGTCCAAATTCGGGCAGTAAACGTATGTACAGTTCAGGTTGGTGGTTACATAGAGTAAAGGCTGGTAATCAGAAGTAAGAGCTGAAGCCCTGCCACCCGAATGGACCAAAGTTCGACGGATGAGAAGGTGTGTGCTGCTGGTTCCTAGTCCTGGTCGAACTGCAGAAGGTTCGCATATCATGAAGAGTAGTCTGAGACAGCAAAGAATTTACACTTTATTAAAGAAACCGGGGAATTTAGGTCAAATGGGGGACTCCGATTCTTTTTCCTCGTCCTCTTCCTCCTGGGGACCTTTGCAACCCACATGGCAACGAGGTGGGGGCGCACATTTACAGCTCAGGGAGGCTGTTAGCACTCCAGCTTAATGGGGGGCGAAAGTAAAAGTTCAGTGATGCGGCAGTTTTTTACGCATTTAGCAGGATAAATTTTTAGACCGTTTATTGTCATATTAGATGCGTGTTCCAACTGCCAAAAAGACTTTCGTAGCATAAACTTGGTAGTCTTGCATTTTTCTTAGTATAAACGTTTCGATTATTCAGCAAAGCGAAATTGTGGGACTAGTTTCCAAAATTATCTATTGCCTATAAATACATATTTTCGGTTCAACAATGGTTATTGGGGGCTAGTATCATTAAAGACGTCCAAAAACATAACTTCATAGTGCAGTTTTCGTTTTTGCATGGTGTGAAGAATGTAACTCAAGTATCCTTTTTTAGAAACACTACCGCCAGCAAATCGTGCTTAAACAACGACCTGGTGCTTGGTTGAGAACGTGGACGGTAAACTTTAAATAAGTGAGGCCCTTCAATTGCAAAACAGCGTGCACTTATTTTGTTTCGATAGTTTGATATGATCGACTCAAATTTTCTTCTGCGAATGCGACATCAGTCGTTTAATCCCAGTGTCAAGATTTAAGTTCTGGGCAACAACTAACGGTCATGCATATTAAAAGATAAACGGTCTCCTACCGTGAAGGTCAGATGGATCACCTTCCGCTGATTGTAAGTCAGCACTTCATTGTATGATCCTGTATAGCTTTGGTATATGATGTTCACTGTTTGTCGACGTCAATGGTCGTATCATGCAATAATTGATCAGGGACACCTATAGTGACCACACCTACCCAACACAACATCTAGAAACATACTCACGTAATGATCAATAGCTCGTCCGGACTTAAGGCTAACACCATATGACAAAGCAGTGAGGACCCCCGCGTGAATTTGATTGGATTTGATTTGGTGGATGAGACGTACGTGTTAATGACCTCACTTGCTCTCCGTTTTATAAGGTGAATAGAAGGCTCAGTCGAGCCAAGTGGACGCGAGAGTGAGCGCCGTAACGGACGATTCGAGCATGCTCTGCTGGGTGTTGTGCCCCTAAAACCATCCACGGGGCTGGACCAACATGAGGGCTAGATCGGGGACCGGCTGACATTACTGACAATGCGCACCCATAACAAATGCCAACATAAGGGTCGTGGCTGCACAGCCAAGCACAGGCCCAGGTCGCGCCAGTTGGGATCTGGGCTGCCCCCCCCCCCTATTTTTGTTGTGCAAAGTCCTGTTCAGTTGTGCGCTGCGGACCGGGGTTGGGGTGATGCGCCTACAGTGCGTGACCGATCTCATGAAACGTTGGCCGAAATTCTGAAATGCGTTTTAGATTAGGAGGGATTACTTAAGTGAATTTGCAATGCTGATTATCATGCGGCATAATCCTATAATATTTCAGACTCGACAAGACGCTGACTTTGGATGCACTTCTTTTCAACCTCCTATAGAAACTGTACTCGGCAAAGAATGGTAACTTAAGTAGCATGTATTTTCACGCTGATTTTCGATGGTCTTGCAAATTTAAACATAGTTCATAAAGAACACGAATAAAAATGCCTTATTTGATAGAGAATCACGTCATCTTAAATTGTATACTGTAAGAAGGAGTATAATGAGGTTTTAGAAAGTTTATAATTATGAAGATTTTTACGACCCTGCAGTGTCCATTCACCTGTCCGTTTACCACAGCTCCTCATGAAATGTACAACATAGTCCGCATCCACTGTCAAATTTTATGAACTCTATTTGGTATCTTTTTAAAGGCATAGAAGAATGTATGATTTTCCATATACGGAACGCATGCACTTTGTAGACTGAAATCACTAAGCGCTAATTCAATGGCCCATCAGGCCCCAAATTATTCGGGAATCACAAAACTTTTTTAAAACCTCAGTATACTCCTTCTTCAAGTAGACAATATAAAGATTATGTGATTTTCTATCAAATGAGTGAAAGAAAGTATTTTTTATCCGTGTTCTTTATGAAATATATTTGAATTTGCAAGAACATCGAAAATCAGCGTGAAAAATACATGCTGCATAAGTAGCCATTCTTCACAGTTTCTATAGGAGGTTGAAAAAAGGTGCATTCAAAAGTCAACATCGTGCCGAGTCTGAAATATTATAGGATTGTACCGCAAGATAATCAGTATTATATATCCACCTAAGTAATCCTTCCTAATCTAAAACGTATTTCAGAATTTCGGCCAACATTTCATGAGATCGGTCACGCACTGTAGTTGCGGACTTTTGCCATGCCGGCCACCTGCGCGCTCTCTCTCTTCTCTGGTCTTCTTCACTATGTCATAACGCCGGGCCCAGATGCGCGAGGAGGAGAGAGTGCGGTAGGTGCAACGCAAGTCTACCACTGCTGCAAACCAACTCAAATGCAAGTCGCCGTCCCTGCTTTCAGCCTGCTGAGGCAAACACGATGGACACCATCGGAAAACGACGGTCGAGATGGCACAGAGTGTTGCTTTCTCAAGGGACACAAACTAAACTCTGCTTCCTCTCTGAGGAGCGGCGATTGCCGCAGGTCAATATTGGGAAGGCGTCATGGTAGCCTGTCTTCCAGTCTCATGAACAAGATATTTCACAAGTTGGCAACGTTTCGAACCACAGATTTCAATGCCCCATTACGGAATGGCCGAATTCATTCGATACCACTAGCAAAAAATACATTATCTGTATTCATAGACACTTGGCAGATTTTGAGTAATGCATGTTGACCATACTGTGAAAAGCTCGGCGCCTCGGCGAGATTCGAACCCACGCAGTAAGGGGAAGACTTTAGTACAGCCAGCGCTCCAACCACTTGAGCTACGAAACCCCACCGGACGACACGAGTTTAATACGCCTGGATCAAGTTACCCGCCCAACCTATTGCAACGTCTAGAATGCACCAAATCTGATACAGTAGGTTGATTGTCCAAGCAGGATTTCCTAAGTAATTCACCTAGAATCCGCCAGATGACTACCAGGCTCATATAATTCATATATATTTTAGCAGATTTTGAATAATTCATATTGATCCAACTGTAATAAAGCCTTCCCACGGAGGCGCCGAGTTTTTCACAGTTGATTCAATATGAATTATTGTTATTCTTACTACGGAAAAGATGGCTACCTTTTGTGTTTTCATTGCATTAATCATTGCTGCAGAAGTCACCTGCTTAACTCTTTTCGTACTAACGTTCCTATGAATAAGAAATCAAGTTGAGGACTCTAAGACCTTATAGTTTTTATTGTTTGCTGTAAAGTGTGTGGTGTCTCACGATTCGCTTGTTCTCAAGATAATTGGGGATAGCCTACAAATTCCTCTCATTGTACTCATTTCAAACACACACAATACCGGAAAGCAAAAATGAGATTATGTAGGATTGGCTTCTCGAAAATCCAGAACTTTAACATACCAAGCAATGTGAGTGCTCCACATATGAGACAGATGTACACAACGTGTTCTCTGAGGTCGGTCTGGGATATTACGACGGCTGTTATCAAGCTTCCTGGCGTCTAATTGGAAATCAGTAGAAAATAATTCCATGAAAATAAGTAATTTGGATTTTTACGCATATAACTTGAAAGGAAGATGCAACATCGTGAGTTCACCCTTCGGCACATCAAAGTGGTAAAAGAACTTAAGGTCTGAGGATTGATCATGCATTCTTGTCATGACTGCCTGTGTTTCCTTTCTCAGCAGGGTCAGTTTAATAAGCCATCACTCACTGAGGTCAAACGGAGCCAAAGGCATGCGACAAGCACTAGGCGACGGTTTTATGACACGTCAGACTCTACGCTAATTTGCTCTTCAGCCGACATGACTGGGAGACGTCATCGATACGTGGCGGAAGGGAGAATAGACAATAGGGCTGATTTAGCGCTTTCCTCGCTAGAATGATAAAGTTAAGGGACTTTCAAAGAAACTAGACCTACGAAACGATTTGCCCGTGAAGGTTCACAAATGATAGGAAAACTCGATTCTACTGCGGACCAGGGGCCCGAAAAGAATGGCCCTTTCTTAATGCTGTCTAAAGACAACTTTGACATATGCCGGCTCCGAACGAATGAGTCCTGATGCATGTGAATTGAAGACGAGGAACAGGCAACATCTAGGCCCATCCTAGTAACCTTGAAAATGTTTAATCATTGTAACAAGACCGCCGTGAGGAGAGAGAGATTGAGCTAGCGGCTGCAAAAGTGTCCCTCCCCCTCTAATTTAACGCATGCGCAATTCACTCTTGTGTCCAATTTCATCATGCATTGATTGACAGGCTCGGACAATTGACCGGCCTATGGAAGATGGCGGTTTAGTTTTGTCAATCATTGTACCCGCATCCAACTCCAGTTGCCTTTACATACTCTTGTCATCGGATCAAGATGGGCGAGGGAGAAGAGAGTCGGGTAGATAGTACGCGCAGGTCACCGATGGTGCGCTTACTCCGTGGGGCACGTGGGGAGGTTTCATCTGCGACAGTCAAATTGCCGAAGCATCGCTGCCTCGGGCACGGCGGCTGTTAACCTCGCTTGCAGCGACAGGACCACGGGGAGCAGTGGAATCTGGCCACCTTGACTTTTGTATGTTGTACAGGATTGACGACTCGAAAATATCATGAGCAATTTTAACCTCTTATGAAGTCAAGTTCGGCAAACATACGCTTTCGATCATTTATCATTAGGCCTGTGCGGTAGAGTAGAGCAGAAATGCTAAACAACCAATAAGCAATAAGTATAGAGGAGAGGATTGAGGAGGTTTGGAGGTCAGAGTCTAGTTCTGTCAGGGGCTTAAGGGGGGGGCATAGGAAAGGCGCCTGGCAATTAGCCGTGTCTCTGTTTCGTCTCTGCAACGCGACGTGGCAGCAGGTGTGAACACACACACGCTAAGTTTGTATTTGGCCGGGGGAACCCTGGAGCCTGCACAAACGCTTTATGCGGACACCAAAATTGGGTTGACCAACCGTATGGCCACTACCTCTGCCGACACAAGTGCCCGCTGAGTGTCTCGTCGGCACTTTATAGATGACTCCGGATGATTTGTTAACGCTTAGGTGGACCTTTAGCGTGTGAGAAGGGTGAGATGGGCATATGGTCACGGTAGGTTCTGTCCCTTATGACCTATTATAAATTCGACAATAAGTACTCCTATCAAGTGAAGGGAACCCTAATGGGCTCATCAACATCAGGACTACTTGCCGCACTAGTATTACGGGGACTAGAAGAAGAGGATTTCCCAACTCTCATGCCCAAATTGTGGCTTCGCTATGCAGATGACCACTTTGCCACAATAAAGAAGTGCGAAGTCGGAAGGCTACATCAGAGGCTGAATGATGTCTTCCCGGCCGTACAGTTTACCCGAGAAGAGGCAGTAGAAGACAGCTTGCCATTTCTGGACGTGGGAATACAAAGGCTGAGCGATGGCGGCCTCACAACAAGCGCCCATGGGAAAGGATCTGATTTTGAGATTCTCCTTAATTATGGAAGCAGTCACCCTGCGGCTCACGAAAGAACCTTCGTCCAAACTCTCCTCCGCCGGACCTACCGTTATTGCAGCAACGACGATCTACTGAAGAACTAATTTACCCTTAGCGGTTGTTTCGATCTAACGGATATCCGACCAGTTTCGTGAAGTGCCGCCTCAGGCGTCAGACAAAACTCCCAAACCCCATTTTGAGTGGGGAAATCGTGATACAGAAATCCTCCCCCCTGCCTATATGCAGGCGACCCCAGAAGTGATCGCCTGGCAGCTAAGTCGGTTCGGTATCCGCATTGTCTCCAAGCCAGCATCTTCAGTGCGCGCTGCATTATCTCGAGTAAAGGATCCTATCCCCAAAGAGCAGAAGGCAAATGTGATCTATCGCGTCCGTGTGGTAACCGCACTTGTGTGTATGTTGTCACATAGGTGGACGCCTGGGCTCTAGTATTAATGAACACAAAGTGGCTGTCCGCCTCCGTGACCCAGTGCCTCTCGTCCTTGCTCACGCATTCGAGTGCGGCCAGGGATTAAATTTGGATGACACCGAGGTTGTCGCCACGGCTAGAATAAAACGAGCGAGAGAATTCCTAAAGGCATGGCATTACAGTACGGGCATTATCCACCGCGATGCTGACCTAGACGCCTATTATAAGGACCTACGATCACTGTTCACTGGCTCCTGCCCTACGCCGCATTACCGGCTGCTAATCCAGCCGCCCACAATCCCGCTAACGTACCACTCTCCCTCTCCTTCCAACACAGGGAACCGTGACTGTTCTGCCCTCCCCCCCCCCACCACCTGCTTAGGGACCTGCCGTGACGCTGTGCCCACATCATCTCTCTCACACGCTAATGGTCCGCCTGTCAGCGTTTGCTCTGCTGAGCCTACTAACCTAGTGTGACTGTCTCACTTCTTCTTTTGTCCTCATTACCTCTGATGACGGGTTGGTGCCACCAACTTGGAAATTCACGAGTTCTACTCCATTTTTTCCAAAGAAGCTCATCCGTTTTCATTATATCGGCTCGGAAAGCGTTCCAACTCTGATCTGCATGTATATATATGGCTAATTACGGCAGATAAATAAGTTAAGGCCATCCTAATCAGCCTGCTCTCGTTAATAATATTTTTTGTTATGTCTCGACATGTGGAAGAGGGAGAGACGGAGGGCGGGTTACGGGTACGGTCTCTTTATGCAGTCAACTTGAGTAATACCATAATAAAGTCTTCCGCTCCTAACGGTTCTACAGCATTCCGGCATCTTGTATGTCGGTCGCGGATTGACTGTCTTTCAAACAAGAACCTCCCCCACGGAAAAATCTCGAATGTTCGGCCGGCCATTGCCTGGGACTGTACGCGTGAGCAAAGAGATCGCGCTTGCTTGACGATGCATCACACGCTGATTGGCTAGTTGATTTCGGGGGTCCACTTCGCGAAAGGCCTGGCCTTCTATGGTCGCGATTCCTCTTTACGTCATTCCGTTTCGGTTTTGCATAACACATCAACATCTCTACTACTTAAATGACAAACTACTTCTGGTCGAGATCACGGAGGGAGGGAAGTGAGGTCTTTTCGTAAGAGCCAACATTACGATGCATGTGGACTAGTGAGATAATAGGTAAAAATCGGGAGATGGCACCCTAAAATCCGCCTAACCAAAGCAGCTTGTTTTACGGAACAGTTGGTAAGAGGGGTTTGATGGGTGGTGACTGGTCGGGATGTACAATACTAGCCGACGAAAAGCCTTATTTGAACAGGTGAATGATAGAAGTTGGCCCGCTCTCCGTTCCGTTATTACAAAATGGGTCGCCTAAAACAGTATAGTGGTAACGGACGAGTGGAAGGCGTACAAACGTCTTCCCTCAAAAGGTGATCTACCTCTTGTCCCGGCGATCGTGTCTTCTTCTTCAAGACTGCTTTCTGGGACTCGTCTCTTCGCTTCTATTTGCGGTGATCTACCTTTCTCTGTTAACCACTCAAAGAACTTCAAGGACCCTACCACCGGACGGCACACCAATGTCATTGAGGCATACCGGAGTAGACTGAGAAGGAAACTCCATGTGGGAGGCCCTGTATGTGGTCGAGCTGTGTGGACTCACATAGACGAAGTACATTATCGTCTTTGGTTTGGCCTCAATGCCATGTCTTTGACAGATGGCTGGGAACTGTTCCTGTCCCATGTTGTGCAGACTTATCCTATTTAAAATTGATTTTGTTGTGTAATAAACTGCCATAATGCGAATGTATGCCGTATATTCAGGTGTACGTGTGAACGATGGGGAAGGTTGGGTAAGAACGACCATTTTCCATGTAACCTCCTGCGATGTTTGTTCGGCCAGCCCATGTTAGGCCGTCGGGGAAAGTCCAAGTAGTGCGTGGAAGTAGGCCTGCGACGGCTGATATAGCCGCAAGGCGTTTGAGTTCACTGTTAAGGTATTATTTCTAGGAAACGGATTTTTTATGTGCCATCTCCCGATTGTTACCGAGATAATATCCCAAGCCCATCACAACGGAATGCCAGCTTAATCATACTTACGCACTGTGAAGCCCTCTTAACAACCTATGACCGAAATTTAAAAAGTTCAACACTATTAATTATTTCCGACAATTCCTATAAGCGTGGGGCGTGCATCTAAATGGGATCGTCTAGCGTCTCATGTGTTCTCCCAAAGTTGGGATTCAGTTTAAAACTAAGCACCTGTCTAGGTCGCCTGACACAGATAGGCGTCTAGGGCGCTACGGAGGTCTGCATGTTCTCGATGAACACATTTACTTACCACTGCCGTAGAAACGAGTCCAAATGTCAGAGCAAAGTGTTTGGGTCCAAAAATCTCCGAGATGGCACACATGGAGAGCACAAAGACCCCACTGAAGCAGAAGAACATGATCACCACAGAGGCACCGAACAGGTAGCGACCAGCCTGCTCAATATTGCCAAGGAATGGCAGAACCACGTATGTTACACTCCAGACGATGAATGTGGTGATCAGAGGGATCTGTTTCGGTGCAAAAAATCAACATCACAGTCAAGCAGAGTTAATGACGAGAGATGGACAGCATTTAGGGAAAAGGAAACTTTGCGGACGCATGAAAACCAATGATGATTTAGCAAACGAATTAGCAAGCTGGGTAGGCTGCAATTTTCCTAAATAACCGTTTTACGACATTTGAATCTTTGTAAGTGAGATACCGCCCTTGCCAGGCGCCTTTACAGGCGCACTGACACTCCACCGTGACATTAGTTTAAAACAACGTACGACAGACCTATCAGCATGAAATGAGTCAAATTGATGACACGGCCAGTATATGAGGCTTGTTAACTTTACCTCCTTGTATTTTGTCCAGTCTTCAAATTAAACACAGTTGCTTGAGATGGATCATAATGTGACACTCGGATAGTTTTATTATTCTAAACCAAGAGCCATCCTGTTTTTCTTTTTAACAGTAACAATGTAGCCTTTCCTTGTGCTAAAATATGCAAGCGACATTGATTTTTCGCGTTATCGGTTGCACACTAAAAGGTAGTACTTAACTCCGCCTGGACTACTGAAGTAATAAATGAACTTGACTGAAGGATGCCTGATATAAGCCAACACCGTCCGATACAGCGAGATTCAAAATGCCTCCTCCCACTGAAAAAGATTATGCAGACCTTTGAAAAAAATGCAAGGCTGCATGCAGGCGACCCGTACATTGTGGGCTGAAGAAGAAGCTAGTGGGAACGCAAAAATAAGTGGTAAATAGACCAGATTCGACGAGGCAGGGAAATGCTGTTTGTTCCGAAGATGACTAAAAGACTGGACCGCAGGTGTCTTTCCTGAAAGACCTGGGCGAATCTACAGCAGAAAACCTCCGAAAATGGAAAAAATTCTTCACGTTCATAAATTGTTTTGAAGGTCTTCTCTGCTAGCTCTCGCCCACCTGTCTTCTTTAGACGGCAATACATAAAAACCATGAGAACTGAAGCACACGATTTAAGCATTTAATACCTTGTATGAAAACATGTCACCTATTCGTCCCCAGACCGGTCTTCCAAAGGTGTTGAATGTCGCAGCAATCGTTCCGACTACCATGAGGAATTGGTCGTCACGGATGTACATTTGTCCCAGGATCTAAAATTTCCCAAAGAATGCAAAACGTTCTCTGGCAGTGTGGAGGTTAAAAAGCATGAAGACTTAAAACGTGGCCAGATAGCAATCAGTAAAGAAAATTTCAATTTTGAGTGACAAACGTAAATGCGGGTGGAATAGGTTCCTCACCCTACTGCTTACTTGCATATGACGGCAGTTACAAGTTGAACACATTTGGCTGGGAGGATTTTCAATGGACAGTTATTTCGTCTATAGTTTCAAGACACGCTTCGTGGCTTCTGTTATGCCCTTAAGCTTATTCACGCTTATTGTCCACTTAATATTCTGAGAAGATGAGGCGATCACAAGAACCATGGATTAATTTTTATTTAATATTCTATAACGAGAAAAAGGAGTCTGAGGAAGGTCCGCTTATAGTTGTGATGTTTCGAAATTAAGTCAACTTCTGTCGCCGGTGACTGGTTTGACACCGCGCTCCGCAGTTTTCACCGGCATTCGCAGTCACGCTGAGCGATTGCTTGCCAACCACACACCAACATAAACAGTCACCGAAATTATATAAAATTATACTATTCATAGCAAGTGAGTAGACGTTCTTGTTTAATCGTTTTGACTTGCAGTCAGCTGCTGGCGTTTAGTATGTAATTATGTATGCATTCTCTTTCCCAATTTTCATGTATTATCGATGCTTTTTCTTAGACATCTTGTAACCACTCGGGAGTTTAAATACGTTCGCCAATCTATCCCTTAATAGAACTGAACTGTTCAGGCTCTATTTACTGTACACTGTCCGGATTAGAATTGATATCGCCTACATATTCTGTGTGTCGTGAAATCCGCTGACTAATCTATCTCATTGGAGTCATCTCAGCTGGGGGTTGTAGCAATTAGGATAGTGGATGTACTTTCGTCAAAAAATAGTTCGGCCCCAGTCCCGTCTAGGAGGAGAAGGGAAAGAGACCAGTAGGAGTGTTTATTCTGTGCAGAAGCCTGATGATGATCCGGACACCTACGAGCGGCCGACTCTGAGTTCGCTTGCGCATCTCTCCGCGAGAGTAATGTGGGCTGAATGAACAGGTCTCCCGTGAGTGTCCAGTGAGTCTCGCATCGTAAATCGATTGGGTGGTTACGGAGTTTACTGGCGCCCGTCGGCCATTTGGCCTGTTGTCACCGGGATAGTGGATCGTCCGCGTCCTCCCCACGTCAGCATCCAACACGGATGATGAAATTGCGGAAATTAACGACGAGGACGTGGACTGACGAGCCATCATCGCCTTAATTACGACCCCCAGCAGTGATGACGAAAATTGTTAATTGTAGTACCTATGCGGCCCCCCGACAGCTACGTGCTGGAAATACTGTAGTCTTTGTGCCTCCACTGCCTTTATCTGCGGCCATCTCTGATGATGACTTAAAACGAGATTCCGAAACGTCAGGCCAATAAAATTCCTGTTCCAGTGATCGCTTCTTCTCTTCTGATGCGTGTTAAAGTCTACAGTTCTGCACGTTATACAGCGGTAGGACGCATGACGATAGGCTTAACACTGTCCAAAGTACGGCAGGAAACAACAAAAAAGAAAGACGAGAAAAAAAGATCCAGATATTGGGGATAAAAATCATTAGCCGTTACCCATTACAAATTATAGAAATTGAGCCGGTCGATAAATCGATTCAAACCGTTTAAACCTAATGTGGAACGAATTACTGGAGGCCACAGTATGCCAATGTTTCATTACTGGCAGTGGATGCGTCTGTAGGGTATACGTGCGTCATACGATCTAAGATCGGCTTAGATGCGAATAGCAAGCCTTTGTGAATTCTACGTTTGGTAGTAGGCAGTTTGTATACTCGCTAAATTACCTTGTATAACGAGGTAATTAGAATGATCGGGATGATTGTTAGGAGGAGGGAAATCCATAGCAGAATAAAGTCGCATGTCCGAATCACTTCGTAGGGCGTGAGGCGCATGTTTGCTACTCTAAAATAATCAAAGAAGAAAATCTCCCTGTAGGCTCCAGAACATAGGAGTAAATTACAGAAGTTTTAGTTTTTTTCCAAAATTAACTGCTAGTTTAAGGTGTGGGTGCCAAAAGTTACGAAGCAAAGTAGGAATGGGTGGACTTTACGCAACCCACAAAGTGAGCATGAAACCTAATGCTTGTCATTTTATGTTTTTCAAAATAAGCGCCATATACATTTTAATTTGGATGCCATAAAATGAAGACTCACTCTCCAACATCAAGCGAATCTGAGTCGGCAGGCGCGCTGGCCTACGAAAAGAAAAAAGTTCATGCAAAATGTGCTACCGTTGAATGTTAAGTAGCGAGTATCAACGTTTGTGGATAGACGACCACGAGGTACGCGTTAGCGATGGAGTATTGAAAAGGTATTGAAGCCAAACCTCTATGAAGTTTAATTAAGGGAAGAAATTATAGCCTCTAAAGTGAAATTCCGGAGGAAATAACGGTCAGGTATGATCCTGCAACCCCACTGGCGGTAGAAAAACCCTAGGTGCCTCTAATGCGGGAATGGTGCTAATACGGGTTTTGTGGGTAGGGCCTTAGAACAGGCCAAGAGAAAGTCGAAAATGTAGCAAGGCAGAGGGAGTCATGTTCAAGCAAACGGAGGTAGCTTAAAAGAGGTGAAATTTGAATGCGTAGTAAAAAAATTAAAAGGTGTATGTGGAACAGTTTGCTGAAGCCGCTGGGGTGCACGGTTGTAAGAGTCAGGGATCTGACCAGGGGATCGACCTTCAGTGTTTTAATGAAATTTCATGTTAGAGGCCTTCTTCTATCGTGTCTCTTACAGGAACTACGCCTCCGAGGTCACATGCGAACGAATAACCCCCGGCCTCTCCCGATAAGTCGTTCCATTGTCTTTTTCGTTTTCTCCGTAGTCTACGGTTATTGGTTTTCCGTTCCTGTATACTCGATAATAAATATATATTTTTTACTACCTGTGCTGTCTATCCCATGTTCCGTGTGCCTGTTATCCTGATCCCACCCATCCTAAGATGCGAGGACTTTTAGACCAGATTTTCCAATCAGGTGGACCGTCAGAGTTTGAGCTACCGTCATCCGTGATCCTACCGTGATCCTACGCCTATCTCTCTCTCTCAGTCGCTACACGGTAGAAGGAAAAAGTAGAAAGGGAAAGCCGCCAACCAATAGGAAGTGGGAACACATCGTCAAGGTCTCCCGCAAAATTTCCAATGAAAATTATGAGTGATCGAGACGAGGACGCAGAACAAAGCGCAGAAATGGTCACGGCAGGCAGTATCACAATTTAACTAACGTAATTGCATCATGGAACTTTTTATTTAAAAGAGGGATACCCAAAATAAAATAGTAGCCCATGAAACCGTGAAGTTCGTTGTTGAACCGGACGGGGAGTGCTAGTTGATTGTGCATTTCCGAAGGTTTTAAGGGCGGGTGTATGCAATCCGGATGATTAAATATTTTTGATTATTTCATTTGCAAACCATAGAGCGAGTAAACCGACTGAAAGCGGGGGCGCGGTTTGAAAAAGTGTAGGGGGCAAATAATTAGCCTCATTATGTGCAGTATTTACAGGAGGATGGAATGCTTACATCGAGATAAATATGCCAATGCCGCAGACCAATGATACTGCAAGTATTACAACAGCATACGGCTGGACGTATGTTAAGGTATGCCAGCTTACCCAAGCAGGCATGGTTTTAGATGCGGTCGACACAGAATAGACATTACTAAGCTGCGACTAGAGACATATTTCACAGATTCTTGAATGAGCGCAGTAGAAAAACTCAGTATAACCTGAGCTGGCCCCACGCCAAGAAAGTTTAGAGTGGATTCATCTGAACGATTGGGATTGCGATAAAAAAACCGTTTTACGCTAGACCTTCTATTTTCAGAATAGGCCGAGATACCGATTTGGAATGGGGCGTGTTTGACAAAAGCAGGCTGGCAGTAACGAAGGTGGTGAAAGCCCGCCTGACTTTTCTCGAAGGAACTAGAGTGATTAGGTATGCTACTTCTGTGGGCATTGAATCACTACAGAAATAGAATGGTACTGCATTCGGCGGGGTGTGTGCTCGAAAACACCTCTGAGCGAGGCGAAGAAAATTGGGGGAACTTTCCTAAGGCACGTAGTAGAATCGTGTCCAGTTAATGACGGCCAACAAACAGTGCTGCAAAGGTCTCAGTAAGTGGACCGGTAAGTTGATCTGTAACATCGATAATGAAAATTTAAGTAAATAAAAAGCTGAAAAACAGCACGTGGAGACGGATACACCGCGCCTTTTGCTAGCCCCGCCCATGTGCATTTCCAATTAACGGCCCGAGAGGTTGTCTGGAGCATGTAAATTTTTAGCCAAAATTTTGTTGCATACGTCAACGACATTCTTCCTCAAGGCAACGCGCGCAAGGCGCCCCGCTGAAGGACCTCCGATGACGTAACCTGGCCGTACGCACTCACTGGAGTGGGATCAGAGAGGAGTAAAGCCGTTGACGCACGTGGCCTAGCCATTGGCTGTATTAGGAAGAAGAGTGACCGCATGGTCAACTGGAAGCTAGGTCGGTGTGCATTCCGTCCTAATATTGTCATCGACGTTACTTTGACGTGATATCGTCTACTCAAAAATAATTCAGTAGGTTGACCGCATGACATTCGTCAAGTGCGCCTGCAGGATCAAACCTTTATGAAACAACTTTCAGATCACTATCTTTTTCTGCCTCATACTTTTTTGATACTGACATTCACTAAGCTGGCCGGCGGATCACAAAAGAAGTGTCGCGGATAGGCCAGATTGCGGCACACTGGCCCCTGGAAAATAACGACTGGTTTCCGCCTCGGAGTCCGCGAGAGCAACTCCGAGCACCTTAAAGGCAACTTAGAGGAGCCTTTAGTCAAAGCAAAGAAAACCTCTCTTTCCATCCGCGCATTTAAAAAACCCAATTCTCGGGTCATCTGTTTCAGGATTAGCGTATCTAAATGCAAGTGGTGCATAAAATAACTGCCACATTGGTGGAGTACGGAGCACATGAGGGGTTAAATTAATAATAGCACGCTTTGGATGGCAAGCATAAGCTTCAATGAAGCGCTCAGACAGAATGTTAGGTCATATGTCAAAGTCTTTATAACAAGATGGTGCACAACGCGCTGACAAGAAAAATACGGCAATTGGCTGACCTGTGTGGCAAAAATATTTCTTGTTGTTTCAGTTTACATACTGCATCGAATCCTAAGTTGGATTGTAGCCCTAAGGACGCCTACACAGGCCATTTATCGGGGAGTTAAAATGCTACATGCAGAACCAAGAAGTAAACTAACAAAATCAGTGAATGATTTTCAGGAGTAAATTCGTTCTGAATTCGATAATTCTTATGTGAGGTAACCGGTTTCCCTTGGGCAGCAACAAGCGATCGGCCACGGCTGCCGCCTAAGGCGTGGAAAGACGACTGCTTGCTCCATCTTTTTCCAAATATATATTAACAGAACAGACCCGTTCAACGTCACATAAACGTTTGTTTTTTCTTGGTCGGCAAGGGAATAGTTTGTTTTTTTGACTGGAAATAGCCAAAAATAGGTCATGTCAGCTACAGAGAATAATAATCTTAAAACTGAACAACCAAAGTGGATTTATAAACTTCTCTCGCATTCAGTAACCCAAGAACGACTTTAACTTTCCATTCTTTGCGGTAGACAGTGAGGGTATAGAAGAATATGCATTTGCTAAGACAAGGAGTTTACTGACGTGACGTTTCGGATTCTCACTCAAAACCATCGCCAGAGACAGTCGAAGAAAAGGGTAACATACGTTTTACTCACGGGAAAAATGACCCAGAAGAAACTCCGCTGGAACGTACACAAGTGGACTCCAGTAAAACAAGAAGCGAACGAGGGAACCTGCGAAGTGCATATATCTTAAGAGTAGTTTTACACCATGGGGTGTTCTCAACAAACTGCCTTTATTCCTCGTGTCAGTATCCCCTATCTGATTCCCTCTCTGATGATGTATTCCAGTACAAATTTGAAACGCCAGGCTAAAAAAGCTCTTGTTTCAGTGATTTTGCCTCCTCCCATTTATTTCTGCGTCCGTCAACTCGGAAATTTTCTCCAGAGTAGAACAGCTGAAAAATTGCGCTTATGTCGATACACAAATTCAGCAGGCGAATATTGCAGGAAGACTCGCCCACACATTTATTCATGCAGTTTTATTGCATCGGGCAGAATAGCACGGCGTTGTTTTTTCGACCCCTTCTACAGTGGAATTTGCGCTTGAGGCTTCCGAACAGCATGCTGTATATTTCTTATGTGATGAGTTCTATATATTTCCGTACGCTCTTAAGAAGACTTCATGTAAGGTTTATAAAATTAAGCATTTATTATGGATCACGTCGCATACTTAATAAGAAGCATTAATAAACGAATAGATATAATGCTGTATGGATGGACGTTTCATGGTGTTAAAATTTCGTAATCAAAAACTTTTTAAATCTGGAGATTCTTTTTTCAAATTCTTACTTCGAATCTGACTTAATTTACTACCAAATGATTATCAGGAAACATATTTTTGTGCATTTCCTTAAAAAATATATTTGAATCTGTAAGTACATAAAAAATCAGCGGGAAATTTTACACTACTTAGGTAGTCATTTTCACCGACTGTAGTATTTACAGGCGGTCGAAGCAAAGGACATGCAATAGGCGACATCCTCGCTTAACTGAAATCTCTTGGGAGTGTGCTGCATGCGAATCAATGTTAGGTCTCCATTCAGGTAATCGTTTGTAATTAGAAACACCTTTCATAATGTTCGCTAGGGTTTCATATGATAGATCAGCTCCTTCAAAATTACTCTAGATAAGTTAGCTGTTTAAAAGAGGTATGTTTTACCGTTGTTTTACCGTTGTAATACCTACCCAGAAAAGTCAAGTTTTCTTCGTAATTTTGGTCAGAACAGGCACCTATTAAGCGGCATACAACGCACACTCAACTTGTCTTCAGACTTTCTAGTCTAGGCCGTGCCGAGGGCTGGTGACATTGTCTCACCTGAAGTCTCTTTCACGTAACGTCTAGCACATGCCACAGATAGAGAGTCTAGGGGAAGTTGACGGCAAAAAAATCTTTTCTCAACTTCAGGATGGTTGGTCTCCAGTAAAGCATGCAGTGGTCCAAAAAAGAAGTACTTTTGAGGTGATTTGAAAGCGGCGAGTGGATAAACAAATGACTAGTGATTTGGGTCTTGCCACCATTCTCTTTGTGAACAGTGTGCACGTGCTCGAGATAAAGATTAAGTCGTCATGATACCCTTATGATAGTCAAAAACGTGCATTATTGCGGCAGGATGAATTTGGCCGGAGAACGTAGTAGATATAGATAGACAGGACGAAATAGAAGGGCTCGTAAGATGGTGTATATTAGAAGACTGGACTATATAATTTATGCGCTTCCCTGTTTAAGTTACTGAAACCCTTAACTCAGTCATTTTCAGTTTGACTGTCAATGTTGACGCTGGGATAGTGCAGATGTTCGGTATTAATGGTGGGTTTCACTCTTCTTTACTGCGAGACAGCAGGTTATTAAGTGCCACTAAAACAGGCTACATTGTGGAGGCGTTGAACCAACATGGGGACTAGATCTGGGTCCGGCAGGCCTTATTAGGGTTGCGTACTCATAACAAAAGCAAAAATTTGGGGTATAGCAGCACGCCCAGGTGCGGGCACTCGCCGCGTCGGTGGGGGTCCGAGCCGTCGTCCTTTTTGTTGTGAAACATTCTGGCCAGTTGTATGCTGCTGACCGGGGGGTATATCAATACGCCTAGGTGCGAGTTCGCGCCGAGCTAGCCAACTGCACCCTCTCCCGCCTCCGATCTTCTTGACTCTGTCATGGCACTGGGTTCAGGTGGGAGAGGTGCCCCCCTGTTGTTGTGAAACATTCTGGCCAGTTGTATGCTGCTGACTGGGGGGTATGTCAGTACGCCTAGGTGCGGGTTCGCGCCGAACTAGCCACCTGCACCCTCTCCCCGCCTCCGATCTTCTTGACTCTGTCATGACACTGGGCTCAAGTGGGAGAGGAGGGGAGAGTGAGCAGATGCTTTGCAAGTCTACTATCACCATAAACTAACTCACACACAAGTTACCGTCCCTGCTCTCATCCTACTGAGGCGGACACGGCGGATATCTTCGGAAATAGAGGTCGAACGGTAAGGTATAGTTAAGTGGATTTGGTAGTCGCTATGGATGGACGCACCAGTACATAAGTAGAGAGATTAATTGACAGTCATAAATCTGCCTTTTTAAGTAACGTGGAAAGCGTTGAATGTCGTGATCCTCAGTGAACCAAACAGACGTGGCAGCTGGATCAAAGGTATTGGAATTATTTTATTTACTGAGCATACGTTAACAAAGGTAATGGATTTATTCTTATTTCTAGGACAGGCTGTGAAAATTCGAAGATGAAGTGGCCTTCTGTTCTCGCTAATATACCTAAAAAGTTGACTAAAGCACCCAGGCTCGCTTCATGATGGGAATTCTTACCGAAATTTGATAAAAATTCCAGAAGTCATGAATCGAAACCATCGACTAATGCATGCTACCTTAAGATATAAAATCCCCTGAATCGCCAACATCGAGTTACCTCATAAGCTACCTCCTCATCCAGGTGAATTTTCAATGGTAGTTGAATTACTTCTCTTCTTTTGATGAAAAGACGTGAGTCGGGAACCTCGTGTCTACTTTCCTGTTATCGGAAAAACAGCCGTCACCACTACCACAAGGCCCGTTAACACCAGCCTTCCCCGTCATCGGTATTTAAAAAATGTCACTGGCTAATTCCTGACAAGAGGTCATTCGTTATTGCATTAGCAAGGTGAGAATGTCAACTGCAGCTTCCGTAAGCTCCCACCTCTGACGTACGAATCGTCTTGCTGTCGGTAACTTCGCCTAAAAAACGATTGTCTTCACGCCTACGTTCTCTTACAATAATTTTCTGGGATCATATTGGATTTAGCTACCCACAACTAATCGCCCATCCAGGAACGAAAATCAAAGAACTGCCAGCCAATAATTCCAGTCCTGCGTGTTCACAAGAGGGAATGCTGCCGAGATATGACTTGCTAGAGTCGGTGAAGAAACCCACGAGACTATGATCGCCTTTCCTTACAATGTTTTTAAATACAGAGGGTTCCTCGTGAGTATGAGTTGTATGAGTATAGTGAGGTGTCACGTCGACATTCTGTTGGACCTTTTTCCAACACACACAGCAATAACACTTCAACATGTGCTTAAGTTGCTCGATACTTTAAGATGTTCGCATGCATTCAAAGATGCCTTGTGGAAGAACTGCATAAAAATGTCCTTGATGACTGTTTTGTAAAAAAGCCACTTCCTTTTTTGTTGACGGTTCGAATTGTAGAAAATCTGGACAGTAAGTTTACACAGAAAAATAACGTCATTTTATATTCATGCCCACCTAAAAAAATTTCGTTCGTGTGTCCCCAGTTTCTCAAGATGTAACTACTGGACGCTTAAAATACCTAATTACAATCGAAACGAACGACACGTTTTTCAAAAAACCTGGAGATTGCGTACGTCAGGTAGGGCCGGAGAATATTCTGTACAAAAACGTCCATTAAAAATCCCTTGAAAATGGAAAAAGCGTATTCTTGCCTGCTGACCTAACTGATCACACATACATATACATGAGTGCTTTTCTCATTGACGGTGACAGAGCTTGCTGTAGAAGTCCTCAAATGAAAGTCAATATGTCATCGTGTGAAAATATAACTAACACTCAAATCCGTGCTGTTCACTTCTGCAATTGGGAGTGCCCCTATATAGTGTGAATTATAGCAAGACTTTCCTGCCTGTGTTTGGTGGGATAAGTGGCTCAGTCTCTAGCATCTTGATGGGCCACAGATAATGAGTGTTGCGCGCTCAAACCTGCATATGTCATTAGGAAAAGACCATCTAGTGATGATAAAATGGATGTGGATGATTTTGTATACTTCATAAGGTACATTAAAGAAGGGAAAAATACAATGCTATCTGAGTGGGCATTTCACAGTGTTAAAACACCCCTTAATCGCAAACGTTTCTAAAATTAAGGACGTCTTACGCATATAAAAGTTGAAAAAGATGCAACTTACTGCCGAAATAGTAGATGAAGGAATATTTTTATTATGTTTTCTATAAAATATATCCGAGTTTAGAAAGACTGTGGGAGCTGATGAAAAAATTGCACTACCTAAGAAAGCACACTTCATTAAACGTGGTTATCGCAGGCGATCGGAAAGAGGCGCATTCGAAAGCCGGCATTTCGATGTGAATGAAATATCCTGAGATTATACGAAACAGTAGTAAGTATTACAATCTCCCTCCCGAGTAACCCTTTCTTATCGAAATTACATTTTATAACTTAAATTAACATTTAACGGGACACGCAGCCTGCTGTGTTTTTCCATTAAGCAATGAATAAATACGTCAGGTCATCACCATGTCTGCAGATTAAATATTTTTTATATCAAAAGCTAAGGACACTGAGCGTTGGGGACCTTTTAAGTGTGATAGACATAAGACCACAATGCTTTTCTTTAACCTGGGCTTTAAGTCTGTCGTTGGTACTTGTCATGGCAAACCTCAGGGAATTGTGTGAACTAGAGCCGAGGGCAAAAGGCCACGGTCAGAGGGACTTCTTCTTCTGAGCAGTAAACACACACGTAAATGCAAACAAGGGAGCAGGCAATGTGTTTCAGTAGACCTAAAAGAATGATCCGAGCCTAATTTTACACGGGCAGAGAACTTACCGCGGATATCTGCAGCGTCAGATTCTCCTCAAGGTACTCCTTTTTGAGATGGAAATGAAGTAGTTAATGCAAAACCTTTTGGTAAGTTTCTATACAGGACATAATAACATAAAGTATATGACATATTACACGTATAACATAGTTGAAAATACCAATGTAGGCTTTGCAACAGACAAAGGCATGAAACAGAAGATGCAGTTCACAGTGTATGTGGTCGCCTTGAGAATCATATTGATCTAGTTACGGTAAGGGGCCAACAACAGCTGTGTGGGGCTTTTTGTTACCTTCAAATTAAATGTGTGGAAGAAACTCGGAAAACTGGAAAGTTTGGTCTTAGCTGACTTTGATTATTGAAATGGCCGGGGTGTTTTGTCCATCAATACTCAACTATGTGCTTGCATAGAAGGTCTCAGATCAGGCAGAACTAAAGTACGCAAACGTAAATGATTCAGTTATGAAAACTTCTATGGAAGGTTTTAGAAGATCAGCTGGCCAGCATGTGTGTGCTTTCGATAAATTCCCATCGGGCCAGTATAGTTAGACGGTAATAGGGAACAAGTAAACCACGTGAGAGAAGAGAAATCGATCACAGTTTGTCATCTCATACAAGTTGGGCATGGGAACAGGGAAGAGGGAGCATTATTTCAACGTTTAAGGCTTGAATTTCCCCGAGGTTAATGGCAAGGACATAAAATGATTTTTACATACAGGGTTTTTCTTCTGAATACTTAAAACCCAGCCAAATAAGCGATATTATGTTGGAAGTTGCCCCACTGCCTAAGTCTCGCTGCATGCATATTTTAAGAATGCCAGTAAATTTGCATCCAGTATTATAAGTGCAATTATCAACTGAAAACGGTTTTTGGCTTCAGAGGTAGACAGCGGATGAAAGCAATCCGAATGCCATGATGCAAATTATAAAAATATAAGTTTTCCCGTGCAGACTGACCCCTAGACTTCCAAACTCATTTTGATCCCCAGAGGGAGACAGCAAGGAGGCCGGACAATAATTATTAGCCCTTAAATAAAATCTTCAGTTTTTTTCAGCGACGATTAAAATTGGCCACAAATAGGGGTTGGGCCTTTTAGTCGTCGGTAGTGCCAGCAAAAGCTTACGTCATGACAACTATTTACACGTCATATCTGAGTCCGATTGGTAAGCTCATGTTAGAAGATTATAGTATTGACGACTTTCAAATGCCCACGTCTATTATGTGTCTTTATCTACTCCACCATAACTTTCTTTATGAAAGCATCTGAACAAGCCATGCAAATCAGGCAGGGGGGGAGGAGTAAGTTTAGACATCCCAGCATGTTTCAGACTGATAGTTCAAGAGGGGATCAATGTGTTTACCAAATCAGACTAGTGTGAAATAAGCACGACTCGAGACAGAAGTGACGTCATCATACACAGGCGTTTGACACGCCTCTGGCAGTCGTAATACATACAGCTGCAGAGGTCGGCTAAGGTCAGCATTGAAGACGCGGCGAAGGCCGATTGTTAAGCCCTTGGTCATTAGTCCGTAAAACGCATGTGTTTTACTTAATCAGCATGGGAGACTTGAGATCCCCTGAGTTCTCTTGCAAGTCCGTGTGAAGCTTGGTGGTTTCGGCACTTAGTGTGCTGTTTGAACGCAAACCTCTTAGTCAGTGAACGAACTGCGCTTTAAAGTTGTCCTTCAATGCCCTTTTTAACGATAAAAACAAAAATCAAAAAGGGTTCGCTACAGGTTAACTGCATGATTAATGTGGCGAATAGGTGCTGAGGATTTTGGGCAGCGCAGATAAACATCAAACTATGCGGTCCTCTTTTTCCCAGGACCATATAAATGCGGAAACCAGGCTGCAACAAACACAGTAAATAAAACACAAACTCAACCAGCAACCAAATAAAGGGGAAAGACTGAAATACACATGCATATGCATGCTTATAAATGTGAAGTGAACAACATAGAAAAGAGTATGCGGCAGTGTACACCGGTAAAAACGAAAACAACACGTGTCTATCTGTTGTCAAAACAGCATTGGCACTAGGCTGCCATAGAGAGTGAAGCTGTTTCATGAACGAAGGAAAGTCGGCTCTCAGTGAGAGCGTTCTGAACCACAAACACTTGGCATCCAGCAAAATAGTTACCTTATTACCAAAGTACCCAACTGTCGACTGATTTTTTGAACGATCACTGGAGAAACGACGACAATTTTAGTGGTCTTTTTGTGAACTGTTATGTCTTGTCTGACTCGAGCAACTGGCAAAGTCAAAACACATCACACCGGATTTGTTTATCAGTGTAGTCAGCCTCGTGTCCATCCGAAAACAATTAGGGACGTCTTGGCTGTGTAGGCCCTTTTCAAACTTCTCTCGTGGATTATCATGCACTCTTGGAGGCAACCGTCCGCTGGCAGGCCGGTTAATTGTAAATATGCCTAGTTAGCCTCTAAACTGCGGATAAAGGTCTCGTCTCTTGCATTTAAATGCGCTTGACCGGCAACGGACATTCTTTTACTTCAAACTAACTCGGTGGATACTCATTGGCGCGCACGCAGCGTGAATCCTGCGTCATCTGGAGATAGCCTACTTTCGGAGGACGAAACCGGGACTGTGGCTACCAATTGATCATGCCATTAAGGTTTCTCCCTATATTTGCACTTTCCTGCATCTTCTCCCTTTTGGCAATCTAAAAATTTAACCGGGCTGTGTATTCCGTCTCGCAATTTGGAATCTCACAGCCGCGCACATATTGAAGGGAAGAAGCTCACATGGCGAGCGCGTAAGATGTGCTCTTCCGATAAGTTTAATCCGTTGAGATCAAAAACGGGGAAACAAAAAGTCACCCTATTTTCGGTCATTCGAAATTCCAAAGATTCAAAAAAGAAAAATAGGAATTAGAATTTTACATGTTATTTGAAAAAGCTTGCACAACAAACAAATGACTGTCAATTTACTTTTTTGGGAATAATCAACGGACTACAAGCAAGACGTTTGTTCAAGGCTAATTTTGTATATTCTACTTTAATCATATATTCAATCCCATAAACCCGTCCTACATTTGGTAACGAACTCAACTTTTTATGTTTTTTTGAGGTAACAACACTAATTTTTGAATTACGAAATCTCTTGTCTGATTGGTCACTTGCTGAAAAAGTTTTTATTTAAATAGTGTTCGCAAAATTCTGATAAACCCTTCATTAATTCGGTGGTTAATGCGAAAAGCAAAGATAACTCAACGTGCACATGAGGCAGTTTGTAAAAACTGTGAGCAATTAAAATGCGAATTGTTGTCGCAGTGGAGAAAATTTAAGAGCGGCGTTCAGGTCAAAATATCTCAACGTTCCAAAAATGAGATCGGATGAAAAAAAATTTCCCAGAGGGTGACAAACAATGTGGCCTCATGTTGTCCACATTTTTGTTCTCCCTTGTGTTATGACTAGCGCATCGGACGAAACGCGTAACGACCGAATGTTAAAAAGGAAAAAGCGATTTCATGAAATGTTGGCCGACGTTCTGAAATCTGTCTTCAAGAAGGAAGGATTACTTAAGTGGGTGTGTAATACTGACCATCTTGCAACGTAATTCCGCAATATTTCAGACGCGCCAGAATGTATGCTTTTAAATGAAGTTATTTCCGGCTGCCTGCAAAAGCCGCACTTGGCAAAAATTAACTTTTTAAATAGAATGCATTTCCTCCATCGATTTTCGATATTCTTGTTAACTCAAAATATTTTATAGAAAATCTCCATAATAATATTATCTCTTGTACCATATGGTAGCAAATCACATCTTCTTTAAACTTCATACCCGACCCAAGGGCACCTTCTGACTTAAAAAGCCATTCGATTCCCAAATAACTTGAACTCGATCTGCCGCTGTATTTTCATTAAGATTTTTAGTCTAAAATTTGTATACTTTCCGCCTAAAACATATATTCCCTCATGCCATAAAGAAAACACTAAATTGGGCCCACAAAACGTTTCAAAGGATGTGGGCTAGGTTGCATACTTAATAAGAGGCATTATTGAACAGACACAATACTGTTCGAATGGATACTGAGCGGTCATAAAAAATCCCATGACTTGGAACTTTTAAAAACGGTTGATGTCCTGCTGTCGAGTAAGAATTTTGAAGAACATATAATTTACCACTAGATGAATACAAACAAAATATTTTATGGGGTTTTTTTGAAATATGCTTAAGTTTACAGGGGCGTCGAAAATCGATGGAGAAAATGCATTCTTCTTAGGTAGCCATTTTTTCCGATTGCGGTTTTTGAAGGTGGCAGAACAGAAGTCCATTTAAAAGCCAGCATCTTATCGTGTCTGAAATACCATGGGATTTTTTAGCAAACTGACCAATATTGCAGCCCGCTTAAACCATCCTTCCTGATCGAAAATGCATTTCAGACTTCCGGTTAGCATTTTATAACATCGGTCACTGACTGTTTACGCCTCTTATTACAATATCGCGCGACAGATGCATTAAGAAAAATCGCTGAAAAGGTTATTAAGAGTTTCGGTGACAGATAATGACTTGAATCCAACCCACTTCCTAGCTGATGGCCTAACTGCCGAATATCCTTTAGAGCTCGCCTACCCCAAGTGACAAGAATTTAATTTAGTTTTAAAACATTTTGTAAGTTGAAACATTATCTTCCTATGGCAGTTCACCTGACTAGCTCTTCTTGGTGGCCTTTTTCACGGAACTTGCGGAGGTTAAATAGAGCCAAAAATTATTTATTTCAAGTGGAATGAACTAAAGGAAAATCTACCACTGAAATTGCCCATACATCCGTAAGTGGCCGGACAGAGTAATAATAGACAGTTGAAATTTTTTTTACCCTAAATAAGCCTGGACTAATCAACAACGAGAAATTCTGTGGAGCATAACGAGGACATAGAATTTTGCGAGTTCTTGTTCAGGGATGATGGTGTGTCAAGTTTGGTTGGCCGACGGTTTTGATACATGGCTGGACGAATATATGTTATAAAAAATTTGTATTTCTCAAGAATCACAACGGCATCGCCTGCGTTTTTCAGAAGCCTCTGCAAGCCAGAAATGTGTGAACATTTGGGACACGTGACCCACCTTATAGTGCCACAGTAAAGGGTTAATGACGAAAATAGCCGGATTCCCTCTCCCGTCCCCACCCTCCTCCCACATGGCTGACCACTGTCGCATGCTGCGCAGTAGAAATCTCGCTTGACAAAATCTCGCTGATACCTCACCCACCCAGACAACTTCCCTCCGTCCTCAAATCATGCTCACCCGAATGTCACATCCAAATTCCATGTTCTGATTCACCCATCGCGTCTTCTAACTAAACAATTTACTTTATTAATATGCAATGACCGTACGCAGTCGAAAAAGAGGTCGCACCATTTTATAATCTCCTTAACTTTTGCATATTTTATTAACTTTGCCTTGTTCAAGAGGGTATGGTTAAAGTAGCTAATGCCTCAGTTAAATCGTCTAGCGGATGTACAAGGGGAAGGAGAGTTTGGTCGTTTTATTAACTTTTTCAAGACTCATTCCCTTCCTTTTTAAGAAATGTTTTGTCTGAGAGAATTCTGAAACCTCGCTGTTGCTTACGTTTCCGCAGAGTTACTCCAAGTAGAGGCCTTCAGTCGTCTGCCAGTCATATCTAATCCCGAAGCTTGGAACATCTGGGGCTGGATCCCGTGGCCTGTTGGTTAGAAGTCCAACACCTCTAACCATTGAGCCACAGGCTCGTTGTCCTGTCGGTTGCGGTCGGGAATATACAATGGTAGAGGAGCACCCGCCGACCTAGAGCTCTCTCTCTCGAGCCAACCAGCAGCCGCACAGCAGCTTGACTTGACTGAAGACCGATGGTGGCTGTCAGACCATTCTGCCTAAAAATGCTTCTCTAGTCTTTGCTTCACCTCGTTTTAACTATTAACGTCCGGTCGCGACTTTGGAAAATTCTAATCTGCGCGACTGAAATTATATTGAGTCTAGTTGTCATCTCTCAGGTAAGGCACTCATTATTAAGCGCAGTTGCATTTGGGGCAGGACATATTCACCCATGATGAAAAGGGTTCACTCGACGAAAAAAGGATATGTTGACACACAACAGCGTATAGATATGTCCAGATGGAGGAGTTCAACAAATAATAACATACCTTCTTGTTTGGCTTTGGGCGTGAGAGGATGCATCCGATGAATTGCAGAACAGCGATTGGGCCCCCAAAGTACAAAAATGAGAGTGGCACACGCTGTAGAAGGGCCTCATCAGTAAAGTATCTGGAAGTAACCATAATTTACAATGGCGTTAGTTCAAACGTGAGGGGTTTTACCAAAAAAGCTAAGAAGGACTGGAAACGAGCTTCTCTCCCATTTTCTCTTGTCAGCCCGCCATACCTGAAATCCAGGTTGCGTAACCTGCGATTTAAAGGCGGATTTAGTCTTGAAGAAGAAGACGCGTCCGTTCGCCTGAGGTTCGGACCCCTGCTCGAACCCATCATCAGCGTGCGGCGTTTTTACAGAGGTAGTTGCACACAGGACAAAGGATTGTCGGTCCTTCATTTGGCTTTTCGAAGGTAATCTGTCCTGTCCAGTATAACCGTCGTTATCGACCAGGGTCAACCAGTGACATGCAAAGAACGGCTCAATGCGGTCTTTCCGGACATACAGTTTACGATGGAGGAGGAAGAGAATAACCAGCTGAACTTTCGGGATGTCCTTGTATGCCGCAAGCATTGCGGTGGCCTAAAGACCAAAGTGTCCAGGAAAGCGACAAATACGACGTAAGTACTGAACCAACCAATCGGCCATAAACATAATTTTGCGAGAACGCCCTCTCGGTGTGTTGAAACGCCCTGCAATGAGACGGAAGATAGGATTGCCGAACAACAATACCTTCGACGGATCTTCAAAGCTAATGACGAATCGCGCAACTTCGTCAACTGGTGCATACGCAAAACGGACAAAAGGCCAAACCGCATGGGCCCCAAATCTTGGTGGGCGCTTCCGTATGTCAAGAGCGTTTCGAAGCTGTCAGCCGCCTTCTCGCACCACTTGGGGTTGAAGTTACACGCAGATCGGAGACAACCATCAGGCGCTGAGTAAGTAAATGGAAAAACCCACTGTCACATCAAGAAACGTCTGGAGTCGTTTATCGGATCTGGTGCAGTTGCGGACAAAGCAACTGCGTCGGGGAAACCGAAAGACTGCTCCGAAAGCAAATGGGCGAACACGCTGCAGCAGTGTGGAGAAATGACGCCAGCTCTCAAGTTGTGGCTCATTCGACGAGTTACGGCCACACATTCAAATTCGACGATGCCGAAATTTTCGCTTGAATTGACAACCGCGTGAGCCGCGAGCTGCTTGAGCCATGGTTCACTGGCCAGTAGTCTATAAACAAGTGCAACGACCTTCACCTTCCATATTCGGTGCAGATGCTTCGCATAAGAGTATTTAGCCATACTGGGAGCGCACTATTCCCAACGCCAGTGGGGGTAGGTCAGATGGTCGCACAATCATCGCAAAAATATCCAACACTTCTGATGAAATTGCAGCAAGTAACGACGCGAATGTCGGCCATCAAACAGTAATCACACCAAAAGCAACAATCCTTGAGGAAGGGAGGAAGCCGTAAATTTTCATAGCCGTGTGGTAGCATGGCGACTGCATCCTATAAATACTTCAGCCCCTTGTGGATGATGTGCCGCATTCGCTATTGTCTCTGCTGAAGGGTTCGAGCAGGAATCCGAAACGTCATGCGAATAAGGCTCCTGTTCTAGCGATCGTGTCTCCTTCTTCACGACTGCTTTTTGGGACTCGTGTGTTTGCTTTTATTGACAGATTTGGTTTGTTTTTTAATTAACAGCTCTGTTGGCCGAGTCCCAGTCGCAGCTTCTTTCGACTGCGATCAAGAACCTGCAAATATTCGCGAGATTTGACACTGAAATAAGGACCCCCCAACATTACCGGTAACCTTGGGTCAAATTCCCTAATCTCAACATCAACCCTATAATCCTTGTCCTTGTAACCCCAACCCAAATCTATCCGGAATATAGCGCAAGGTCACCTGTTCTATGGGAGGCCCTTATTCCTGCATTCTACAGTGTTCACACAACTGTCGTATGCATAGGCGTTTTATTTCTGCTCGGAGCTCCAATCTTTGGTTATCATGATTGGTCGTACGGACGAAGACATAATGATAGGGAGAAGTTGCTGGCAAAGTGTTTTTTGCCGTCAGACTGTTATAGCGTAACTCTTTGGCAGAAATGTGCAGGCCGGGGTTCGGAGGTAAGAAAAGGAATTTTTATTAGCTCGGGTATTATGGCTACCAGATGACTTTGCAATTACGATGTTGCCTCGTTTTCCGTCGGTCGGGTTCTGTGATTGACGACAACGTGGATAATAAAGTGTCATTAATCGTTTAAAAATATGCATTTCAATCAAATCCTACTAAAACCCACAAAATGTCCTACTGAAGTTCCCACTAGAAGATGCCGCCTTTGGCATTGAAAATAATCTTAGGAAAACGTTTCTGGTTTCAGCTCTTGGAACATCAGCTGTTTTGCCAGTCAGTGGTAATACGTGCAGAAAACTTGTTCTTCTGACATTCCACTGCAAACAGGCTCTAACATCACTCCTGCGCCTTCGGTTATGTCCTTCAAAGTAGGTAAACATAGTGAAACATTAGGTTTCGTCCTTCAATTCCATGTCACCCCTGTGCATCATAAAAAGAATATTACGAACTTCGACAGATCTTGTGTCGTGACGGCCTGTTATAAGAAGTACAACCGCAAACGTCCAAAATATAGGCGGATGAACATTTCCTGCCACATAATAAGTAGAGCTAAATAGATGCCCTGTAAGTACGAACGGACTGGCTTCAGTCAGATAAGTAGACGACATTAAAGTGCCTTCTTTTGTGACGCAGCAAGGTGTTTATATCTAGACCTATGGGTGGTTTATCACTGTATTTACAAAACGCATGGATATTTTGACTGTAATCTTGAGTTCGAACGCTCATTTGTCAAGATTAGTGGTAGAAAAAACAGGCATAAGCAAGAAAATGTTTTCAGAGGCTGAATTGAAATTCTCTTGGATTGATTTTTAAGCTGTCGTATCTTCGCCTGTGAGGCCGGCGCATTGATAGGTATCTCTTATTGTCCCTCTCTAAAGAAAGATTTTCTGACTACCGAAATCCCTGGAATATAGAAAGCAAACGACGCCCGGGTAAATCGCAAGAGATGCCCTTGGAGAATGCGAATAAAAGAAGTATCAGGGTAAAAGCAGCCGTATTTTTGAGTCTAATTGGCAGTGAATTGGGGTTGTGTAGCAAAGAGTGCTGAGTGGCCCGTATCCCACACATCTGTGAAGCTTAAAGGCCGACAGAAAATCCAAAAAAATAGATAAGGACTCAAAATAAAATTCAGTGTTATTTAAACAGAACTAAACAAGCAGACATCATGCTGAACCATTCAGTTAAAATCGCGCAAAAGTGTTTTCACCAAATGAAAAGTGAGCAGACTAGAACTTTCAAAAGTAACGAAAGGTCGGTTTCTCGACCTGCAACATATGAAGTATGGGGCGCTGGTTGCTGATTTAACTTCCCGGACCAGTGTTCTCGTAGCCGAATCTTTAGTATAACCTTAAAAGCTCTAGACAGTAAACTTCCGGGAAGCCAGCAGTGTCCCCTAACCGCGCGGCTGGCTCCTTAGTAATTTACAGTCCAACAACATTCGAAACGCTAACCCATGATTATGTAAAGTTGTTAGAAAGAATACAAGTAACCAGGCATATGATGTGCATGTCCTGTGGCGAGATAAAGTATTTTAATCAACGTGATGAATATTAATCAAAGTCGATAAGGCTTCAGTCCGCAAACGATGAATTGAGATACGGTTCACAAGCAACTGTCTGCCTTACAGATGACCTTTACAGCTTTTCCTCCTCGATAGTACTGCGCCAAATGCTTGACTTTTGCTTGACAAACATAAACAGACGATGATTGTGTGTTCGAGACAAACATGTTAAAAATTAATCAGGCAAACTTCGTATTTGTCAGAGAACGATAATTATGTTTATTTCAGAATCAAATATGCAGGCCCACCAGTCCGTGCTGTCTCTTAGACACAAGATTTAAGCATAATATGAAACATTTAAGTTACTTACGCTGTGTTATTCTGGATGGCAATATTCGTTGGATTTATTATCGTCGTCTGAATTGGCGTCATAATAATTGCTCCGGCCCCATAAGCACAAGCACATGTGCCAAGAACGAGGCCTCGATGTTGTGTTGTCCACTGAAATGTGTCAGAAATCTCCTAAAATAGTCTTCCGCATTTCTCTATATCAAGCAGGTGACAGAATTAATGTCATGATATTGCGGATTCAATGTATCCTGCCTTAGAACCCCCTTACAGAAATGCACAAATTATAATGTTCCAGTTACTTTAAGCTACTGCGATTTAAAACAAATTTACTATGTTCACTAGCGAGGCAATAAAATTTGTTGCCCAAATAAAAAATGAAGACACGGCTCTTGCTTTTGGAAGATAACCACAGGGTGAATTCTTGCGTGCGCCTTCAAATAGTTAAACGTTGTGATGCACGCGCGCATTACGTTACATATATGAGATTAACAGGCTCTCGTGGTTTTTAATGGCATAACGTTTATTTAGTCTTATAATGCGTTTCATTTATACCTTACAAATCACAAAAAAACTTCCTTTGACAGGCAAATAATTTAAAGTTCAATTTTTATGGGAATATATAAGTGTGCGGACTGACATTATTATCAGCGGATGCATATGATTTTCAGAGATACATTTGCAAATAAATGTCTGAATGAAGCTAAGCACTTCAACGATTTTGGGGTTAATTCGGCAATCACCATGGACAAACTGCTCCTTTTCTAGGGCTGGCGGTATTTTCTATTCTCCCTGGCGTTTTTTCATTAGGATGCCTCTGACCTAATTTGCAAATTTTTTTATGATTACTGAACATTTTCTGCGTGCCTTCAGCATATGAGGTTTCAAAATTGAAATTAAAGTTGAGGTATTACTTATTCATCATTGTTCGTCTGTCCCTCAAATGAAGACGTTTTGTACTGAGATTATGTGACATTGAGTGCATTATTGGGAGCGCAAACAATTTACTCTAACCCATCAACTTGGGCCAATATATCATAAGCTTTCAAAAAGGAAGGCTCGCATCGACAATATTTCCTCGTTTCTTACCGACGTGGAATTTTCTAGTAAGATTCCATACGAAGTTCCTATGCCAAGTCCAACCATGATTGCATAGGTTAATAGGAGGGCTGCATAACCAATTTTGATAGTAATCGCAGATAGAAGAATGCCACCACTGAAAACAACTGTAAACAGTAAGAAAAAGCAAGCAGCAAATGCCATAACTGCTCAGCTCAGAAATATATACAAGTTTTGACTGATATTGGGGACTCCAACAATGACATTTAACGCGTGCTGGTGTTACTGAGACTGTCGAATCTTTTAAACTTTTTTGAAGAGAAAAGGAGGAAATCAGCAAGCTTGTCTTTTACAAATCCCCTTTCGTGGTATTCGAGATGAGTGACATGAAACCATTTTTAAACGGACTCCGACTCAACGCTGCGTAATGATTGAGTGATCTGTCGTAGTAGTGGGTTTCGGGGTCGTGAGCTGTCTGAGGTGACTATATACAATCACGTTTTACAAAGGTGGACAACAGCATTTATAGGATTGATATATTCCAAGACAACTACCACATATCCGTTTTGTTTTTATTAGTCACGTAACACTGGACAAGTACTTAACTTATAGAAACTAGTGCAAACCGTGCGACAGAGAAGTCCTTAACACAAAACTGATGCCCGCGTTCTCGAGAGACGTCATGATGTCCTCTTCGCAATCCTCAAAACAACTGTCCCGATTGAGAGCAGGATAACAGTTGAAATAAACAGATTATTGACATAATTAGATTCCGCTTGCAACCGGTTTGTAAACTACAGCCCATAAACTTGGCACTAATAAGCCCTTTTCAAGAATTCCAAATTGATCGCTGATCCGTTTTATCATCCTATGTTGCTGATTTTGTGCCCCTGTATTCATAATTGTAAGAGGTATTTTATAAAAAAAAATTAGAAAATTTCAATCGGAACTTAGGTTCTATCTGTTGGCAACAGGACTGTTTCATCTCTTATCTTAATGAAGTTTTTTGATTTAGCATCCGAGGAAAACATATGTCAAAATGTCACTTTTAGTGGTTACGCGGCATGTTAACCGGTAACAATCTGCGTATAAAATCAAAAATATTATGAATTTTGAAACCGAACGGAATCTCTGGATTAAGATTTGCAGCTTGTAGGCAATCCTGCCGTACTGACCTTAAAAGGACAATATAGCACTCGCTACCATAGTAGAGATTTTTCTCTACAAATCAAAAATTAATGCACTTTTTCGTTTAATCAGGAAGTTCATTTTGATTTTACATGGGTAAAATTCGCATATTAGGGCGGCTGATTGATTCAAATGTTCCTCGGCGGGAGCAGTATAGACAAATTAAATAGTTATAATTATCGAGTATATATACTTCTTTTTTAGCAGGAAAAGCCATGTGCAGGTAGAATATATTCTGCCTGCAAAACGTTAAAATTCCATCCGAAGAACTTGGAAGAGGAGCAAACCTCTAATCTTAACAATTAACATTTCACGCTATCAAGCGGTTCACTAGGTGTAGTTATTTCGTTAGCCCTTCGTATTCTTATAGCAGCGGTTGCAGCTATGAAAATAAGGGGACAAATACAGCACTTTAATAAAACTTTTCTTACGAATTCCTCGTTATCCATACTGCTCCTACATTTAAAAATGATTTACCTCGTATAAAATACGTATACTTTATCTTATGAGAAAACAGTTATTAAATAATTAATTTTTTCGATAGGTATAGTACCTGAACAATATGCAACTTGCTATTGTCAATGTTCGAAATCCAAACCTCATCGCTAGCATGCCAGCAAACGGCATAAAAAGGCCCTGGACGGCAAGACAGGCGGCCGATAACCAGACAGCTTGGTTGTTTACAACGTTATTGTCTACTTCTTCATGAATGTAGGACATAATATATGGTGACATATTGCCTTTGAATTATTGTTAAATTTTTATTACCAACAGAATAGAAGTTTCCGAATGTCAAAATAATAAGAATAGATCCGAAGATTGCTAGAAATGCGTAACACTTGTCCTTTTGACAGACCAGCATGTTTTGTTTTCATGCGCGGATAAGATGTACCAACTCGGCGCGTTCTATCAATAATTATCACTTTGAAACAAAGAAACAAACTTTTCAAGGTCTAAATGCCTCGCTCAAATGCTCTTGGCAGCCGGTTGTCCAAGGCATGTGTCCAGGTCCCTCTTATTTTTCTAAAGCTCTTACCACGATCCAAAGGGAATAAATGCTGTGGGTCCTATAGTTGGCCTGGGGGTTTTGCAAAGGCTACGTATCGCCTTTGCGCAGAAAACCTAGTTATGGTAGGACGAGGAATATTTAGCTAAAACAAAGCGAATAGACGAAATTCTTTTAGTGAGAGCTGGTGTTTGAGAATATTTAGGAAGCCAGGCATCTAACAGTGTGATTATTTCCGACAGCCATTTGTGGCCGGTCGTCCCATAAGTCTACAGGAGTTTTTGAGTGTTTACAGCGGAGTCTACATATTTAAGCTACTGCATACTTTGCGATGAGCAACAGTTTGTTCTACGTAACGATTACTCTGCGCATATTAAGTGTTCTTCGTTGAAGAAACATGAGAGCTGAGGATTTGTCATTAGAGTTTGAGATCATGCTATTTCGCAACCTAAGGAACGGAGTTCGTTGACGTTTTATATTCAGGATTTCAGGTTTAGCAATTGAACTACTCAAAATATTCTACGAATGCCGGCTTTCCGAGAAGTCTTGAATTTACTGTCTTCTTGGCCAAAAATTTGAATTTGGAAACTCCGTCAGTCCCGACTTTCGATTTGAATAACTTTTCTCGGTCGCCTACGAATATTGCGCGTAGAACGACGTTAAAAAGCAACCACTTCATGTATCTTCTGCTTGTTAACTCTCTTATATTCTTTTTAACTATCTGTACATTTTTACTCCATCCATGACTTGCATTAATAGATATTTACTATCCTACTTCTGGACTCAAGTTTCGGACTGGCAAAAAGAATACACGTGGCATGAAACTGCGATGCTAGATAGTCAAAAGTTATATTGGATAACTCGCTGATATCGTCTCTTAATGGGATATGATCATCATACTTAACCGGCATATTGTAGACATTATGCGAATGGTATGAGGGAAGTGAGGAATTTTTTTTGATTCTGGTATTCGTCTACTGTCCAGATATTGCTTGTGTAACTGAGATGGGGGCAACTTCCTCCGTAGATAACGGCGGACCGTCCCTCTCAAGACTAAACTGCCATCGAAATAATCGTCAAGACAGCCAAAGTGGTGTCTTAAATCCACGTTAAACAGGAATCTGCATTGCTGGATCTTCCATATTTTTCCGCAGCAGAAGTCAACTGCCGACTTAGGGTCTCTTGGGATATGGTACTTGGTTGTTGTTGGTTGTTAATTGTCCACCCAAAGCCAGTGAGCACTTCGATATTTGTCCCTCATAGGCATTCCATAAAGCGACCGTGACAGTTAATTGCGAGTAGTTTGAATCTTCCTGACATCTGCAGGATTCCACCATTCGGTGCTGTTAGAAGCCTTACTTGAGACGACGTAAAATCGGATTTACGATTTTTTAAATCAAGGATCAAACATATATGATGCTTTTTCCTGTAGAGGGTGCTCGCCTTCGCTAGCATTGTCTTTTGTCCCATTAGGATGTTCAGACCATGGCATGTATGTTTCTATCATAAATTTGGAAGCTTACGACATTTTCCATAAATGTAGCTTTTTCTGTCATTCATACGATTGACTTGATTTGGTGTTGGGTTCCCACGTAATTGATAACACCATTAAACTAATGAGGCTTCGGGCCCACTTATCTATCGTTTTCTTCTTTGTTAGAAAATAACTAATTTCATGGATGAGGTTTTCTTCCTTTATATTTTCGCCATAGGCTACGTAGACTATCTTGTTGTTTCCATCTGAAAAAGGACACTTCGGGGCTACAATTAGCCTACTATATTTTTCAGTGGGTTAAAAGACTGACCGAGGAATGCAATCTGTTGGATTGTCAAGGTTTACCGGGAACCATATGCTGAATACCACGAAAAGTTTTACTACGCAATTACAACTCTAAGAAAAACACAGCATACCTTTATTTGGGCGCTCTTGGAAATCCTGTTGTAGGCGCTTAGCCAACCTTTTATGGCTTTTCGATTGTAAAAGGAACTGCTGTTAATTCTCGAAATACAAACAGCCGTATCCTCAATCCGTTTACTACCTTGAAATATCTGGACCAATCCCGAAGTAGCATTCACCGCAAGGTCGTTCGATTCCTTCCTTTGGCATCCGTAATTGCCTACCGTTAGTTCTTCTCTGTCGACATAATTGAAATCTGGAATAAGTTACTCAGGAACATATACAGTTTGCAAAGTTATTCTTTGTTCAAACGAGCCATCACTCGCGTTCTGCACTCAAAACACTTTCCAACATTTCTGTGTGTCGGATCCTCTTAAGCCGTCGGTTGTGGTCACAGAATTCGTGGTAATTAATTTGTCTGCCTGGTCTCATTTCGTGAGGGATGGTGTCGACTCCGAAATCTGCCACTCAAAGAATAAGCCCGTCAACTGACGGTGGGCACCATCGCCTGGAACAGAGTTCCAATTCCATGAAAATGATGGAGACTACAAAAACCAGCCAATTATTACCGTCGTGGACTGTGGGCAGCAGTTTTTCTCCTAGCTAACCAAAATAACCCAAAGCCTAACTTAATGTATAGAAATTTTTTCAATGCCCACTCGATCCATATCGTACTTTTATTTTGGTGGTGCGTGTAAGCTGATATTCAACGTGAATATTGCCATTATTATGATTGCTGTGATAATACTCATACATCGACGTTTGACTCGGGTTGCTGAATAACCTCTGTACCATTAGCCGTACGAGGACGTATTTTTTGTATAATTCTGGATTACGTCAGTGAATCCGGAATCTCGGCGCATTTACACATGGTTCTACTAGATAATTCCCTTGATAACTCAGGAAAGGGCTTCGAGGATAGTATGCTCAGTCAGTATCAGTCAGTTTATTTGGATTAAACGACAGAAGCCCCGAAAACTCCATTTAGAGTGTACAGATATAAGGGAAAATAGTTAAATTGCAAAAGTTTTGCTTGAATTTTTAGTAAGAAGATTTCATAAAACTAATAATGTAACATAAAGGCGAAAGGAGTATTATACTCGCGAAATAATTGCAAAAAACATTGTTCACCACATGCGGACTGTGAAAATTTCAATATGGGCTAAGTTTGACGTACGAAATAGGATCTGTTGAAGTCCTGTTAGTAGTATATTTATAGTCATTGCAGTAATCCGTTAGATCAGGTTTCGGCAGTTTGGGTTGCCTTTCAGCAGGTGAGTATCCAGTTGTCTCTTGAACGCGTTCACTGTAGGAAAATCAACAACAAACTCCGGCAAAAAGTTCCAGTGGCGAATGACCCTCCGTGAGAAGAAAGGAGGAAGATTTATTTGTGTGGCACAGTTCCCTTTTAAGCTGGTAATAATGTCGTCTGAGATTTGACTTGGGTGCCATTTCAAAAAACGTTTCCCAGTCGACATGCAGATTAAGTCATTTTACCAACTGGAATATTGCTACGCGCTCACCTCTGTCCTGCCTGTAGTGGAGGGGATAAAGGTTCGAGGCCGTCAGGCGCTGCTCGTACGTGAAGTTTTTGAGGCCATGGACAACCTTTGTAGCGGGCCGTTGTACACCTTCAAGGATATCTATATCCTTCCGAAGCCACGACTGCCAAGCCTGTACCGCATATTCCAGGTGCGGCCGCACAAATGCCCCGTATACTTTGCCCGCGTGTTTGCTCTAGAATTTTGACGTCATTTGGACGTCATTTTTCAGGTGATTCATAAGTTGGGGGCCGCCGTGACTCTAAATCACAACAGGGATTGCGTTCGATCCGGACGCATTCTCGCTGGAGAGTTGTTGCATGGCCCTGATGGTTTCGTTGAGAGAGAAAGGGAGGGAGGTCGGGGTCCGCGGTGGTTTCAATTGGGGAAAATCTGCTGGTGGTGGCTACGAAGATGATGGAAGGGCGTTTGAGGAGGCTCTTCAGAATTTGCACCCTCTCACAGAGTGAGGTAGTTCCTTCGGCGCTGAGGAAAGGAGGCTTTCCTTGGCTGTGGGACTGGACACAGTCCTGGTCGCGGCGAAGAGGTTTTTCCATTCGTTGCGCTCCGTGTGCCCTTGAGTCTTCTGGGGCTTGTGAGTCATCCAGGCATTCGGCATCTCCGGCAGCTGCTGTTGCACAGGGCGGCGACTAGAGTAGAAGGCTACCTTGTCTTCGTCGGTGGGGCGGTTGACGTAGGCATTGTGTGGACGGTTCTTCTAGGCGAGCAGGCTGCTGATGACGGCGTCTTTGTCTTCGAGCCAGTTCTTGTTCAGAGAGAGAGAGGAATGCTTTACTTTGAAAATAACTTTCAAAACTTTCAGCAAAAACGGTTCTCCAGTACACAGTGATTACCATAGAGATAAACAGGTATTGGACAGGTGGACATAATTATATATGAAGAAAAAAGGACTTTAAGGTGCAAGGTCGAGTTTTAGTTTTTGTTTTTCAACATCTTTGCAGGTGAGATACCGGGCTAGAAATGGCAGTATGGAATTCCTATAGGTCGAAGTGCGGCAAGGGATGTGGCGGAAGCATCGACTCATGGGACGTAAGGATTTTGCAGCCATTAACTCATTATGAAGGGGATGGACGGTGTCATTCAGAATTCAGTCAGCGAATTGCTCCACCGACTTGAAGTGTCGCTGCATGATGATATCAGGCGACGAGCGCGGCTGAGGACAGCCAGGGCGATTGACTAGATGGTAACCTTCAGCTTATACTCTCGGTTATCTACGGAGGCGTCCTCGTCGGCAGCCAGGACTCGAAAGTTGGCTAGACGTTGAGCTGGCTCGTTGCAGAAAGTAAGATGGTGAGCAGGCGCACTCAGCACAACATTAGCCATATTACCTGGCAGTCGCTTATCTTGAAGTCTCCTGCGTGAATGGGGCCAGATCCTGAACTTGGGGGTAACGAGGCAATTGTTGGCCCAGCCGTCATCACCCGAATTACCTTGGTCATCAGCATGTCTTGCTGTTCCCGCTTCCGGATGGAGAGAGAGTCCCGCAAATGCCAGTGTTGCAACGAGGGTGCATCTAGGTTGCCTTCTCCCGCGTTGGGAGACGGGTGAATGTGTTGGTCAGGATAAAGTGATGATATACATAGCTTTCTAGGAGGACCAGATCATTGTCACTGTAGCCGCCGACGCAACGGGGACCCAGCACTAATTTCCTGGCAGCATGGTCTGTGCCGACGCGGACGTTGAAGTCACCAAGTAAAATTAATTAATCCGACTCCGGCACAGCTACTGGAAGTGCGTTCAGGTCATCATAGAACTTGTTGCTCGCCTCGATAAGTTAGTCGTCGGGGGGTTTAGACGCTGATGACAGCGGCAAAATGGTCTCCCGAAAGAAGCAGGCGGAGACTAATCAGACGACCGTTGAATGACTGAGACAGATAGGGCGGCCGTCCGACCATGCCATTCCCGATGGAAAGGTCACGCTCGCGTCTCATCACTCTGTCTTGTGACAACCGGTACTCACCTCCTCCAGTTGGTCTTCTTTGGAGAACCGGATTTTGGTAAGTGCGACAATGTACAACTTGAAAGGCACCTGCTCCCGAGCAACAAACGCCGTTCGCCGTTCCGGGAGGTTTTTCTTGGGATTGTTTAAAGGAGACGAACATCCCAGGCTGCCCAACTGAGGGGGCTCAACTTAGCAGCCTGTGGGGTCGGACGGGGGGAGGAGGTAGAAGGGAGAGATTGTCGTTTTTCGTTTGGTTGTTTCGACTGAGGGTATTGCAGTCTGCGGAGCCACGGTCTGCGCACAGATATCGTCAACCCGGTATTTGTTTGAGGCATATTTTATGCCCCCTTACCCTAGCTTGTGAAAACAGTGCCACTTAGGGCTGCTTGGTTATCCCAGACGGCATCAGCTGTCCACCATGTGTCGCGTATTGGTTTAATCAGAGAACGACCTGATTGGCCTGGCCGCATACGCGATTGCATGTCGCCCTCGCCGTGGGACTTCAAAAGCGGTGGGAAGGAGTGGACAAGAGAGTGGACAGAGCAGAAGGTTGGGCGGAACAATAAGCTAAAGAGGAAAGAGGGGAAGGTAAAGAGAGGACGGGAAGTGGAGAGAGGAAGGGGAGAGAGGAAGGGGAGAGAGGAGAGGGGAGAGAGGAAGAGAAGCAGAGAAGCAGAGACACTGTGTGTGGGGATACGCACACGGATACCCTCATCCGGTTTGGCCCTCCGGGCGAGACGTTTGCCCGAATATGGCCGCTAGGCTGGGCCCAGCTTCGAGGAGCAACAGGTGAGGCTGTGATGCCAACTAATAGGCACTAGGCGTAGCCAACACCAGCAAGCAAGGGAGCGACCTACTACGACCATTACATGGACGCCACCATTGACACACCTTGACCGTCCATGTCATACACAATTGTCTGGATGCGCATTTATGCAGAAAAGGGACTTATTTCGCAATCGCAATGCGATTCCACAAGCATCGCGGAACCATGAACATGAGTTCTGTAGAAAACCAAATACAAGGGAGTGCAGGAAATCAAGACCAGCCACTACACTACATTTGTGTATCTGATTAAATCCAATGAAACCCCCGATCGATGATTTTCACGGTTCTGGATGTCAACAACTCAGTTCAACCCCAAATGGTCTGTTGACGATCACAGCGGAATCCTCTGCTTCTACCATTTTCTAGTAGTTTGCCCGGTCAGCGACGAGGTCTCAGGGTGACATTGTCCCCCCTACGCTTTGATCACCGCCCTAGCATCTGGTGTTCTCTCCTCGGCTGGACTTTAAAAGGGCTGTGAGCGACCGCATCCAGGTTCCTCTACCTTGCGCCACTTCGAGGCGGATAGCCTCATCTGTTTTAGGAATTCTGCCTCGACAATTTCCGTTTTGAATCCCGTACCTAATACCATATGCAGGCCAGTCCTGTTCGACTCGCATATTTACACTTTCATTAACGGCAGTTTTTTATCCTTAGGAGCTAATCAATTCATATTTATTTTGCCTTGTTCATACGGAGTTTTTCCAATGCTCTCCGACCGTTTGTTCTGCAACCGTGAATTGAATACCGAACGGCATCTGTCTACTTATTCAAAATTTACTTGAAAATTTATTTTTACTTGCTATGAAAGCACTTTCGAGTGTACTCGATAAAATATTTTATTCATTTATTTATACCTGGAGAATCATTCTGAACTTCGGATATCAGGACCATCCACACAAATGGTCAGACAACTCTACAATGAATGGATGGTGTGAGTCACGGACAACGGGGTCGTCTCTGGAAAATTCGCGGAGACCAATGGGATGAATTAGGTTGGCTCACTTGCTTTCACGTAATCAGTCTCATGTTCTTCGCTTAACCGATGAACGCCAACCGCGAAGATTTGCCAGGGCTCGACATTGGCTTTAGGGCCGAGGGAAAATTGTTCAACATCCGTCATATAAAATCCTTTTTGAATGTATCCAAGCTCAGCCGCCGCCCATTCATTCGTAACTCGGCCTGTCTTCGTCCCCAAACGGAGAAGACAATAGTTCTGTCGTAACCGGTGCCAAATGGCGACCACCACGAATCCCGTATAATTTTAATGGAACCCGCCACACTAGTTAACATATTTGCTTAGCGGGAGGCGGCGTACAATTTCAGAAATCGTCCTGCTTGACAGCTGAGTCCCATGTCGGACCCTGAAAGCCACCCAGACCCTCAAGCGTCTATAGCATCCCCTGGAACTGTAGAGGAGGCCTACTCAGTATACAGCTGAGGATGCACAGAGACGCTGTCCTGACAGCACTTTTGTACGAGACGTATAATGTATTCATCCCGTAATGCCAAGGCGTCACGCCACATGTTCGGTACGAGCAAATGATCAAGGTCATATATACGCGTTCGAACCACCTTTGCGTCGAATGGGCACCCTTCAGCCAATGACATTCATCCCATACCATATACCCAGCCCTGTCTGCAAGACACACCATTCGTGCTGTCTCCCGTCTCAATACGCATCCTAGCTACATCCAGTCTTCTGTTTTGTGAACACTTCATTGGTGACGCAGCTTCACGGACAGAGCTTCATTTTTGCCTATAAGTTTACTTTCCTGGCAAAGAAACGCTTGGAAAGTTACTCGTAATTTCAATGGATAAGGACATTTAAAGATGTATTGAACTGATTTCGATGTTATCGCCTACGATTGCAGTACATGTTACCTCTAAATTGTAATTCCTCCGGACGAATCTCGGAGGGTGGAACAGCGGTATTTCGATGTCCTTAGTTTGCAAAAGACAACTGCTTCTCAAAGAGCATTCAGAATGCTCGAGTCAGAGTGCGAGGAAAACACAACATCTCCTTGAGCCGCAATCGGTTTTGTCAGATGCGACAGGAATCCGGTCAGAGTATCGGCGATTTCGTAACAAAATCGATTCTTGCCATCCAGGGCTACAAACATTAAGTGATAAAGGCAGGAAACTTCGAGCGCGCAGTGTTTGTCAAACAGTTGATCGTTGGTATGAACGCAGAAAAAGCGCGGAAAAATCGCTTATGAGAGGAGAGGGATTGGTCATGTGAGAAGGTCTGTGATGTCGTTCGGCAAAACATTTAGCAGCCGAATAGGTCAAATACTGGGGTGATACCATCCTCGTATTTGCGAGTTGCTTCGTGACTGCTATGGCTTTCACACTCGTAGATGTTCACGTGATCTAGAAGGCCAATGCGGTGAGTGAATGTTTTAGGGAAGTGTGGTCAGTGAAGGTGGACTAGGCGAATGTATGTGGGCGCCCCGGGCACTGGTTCGTCAGTCTCTGTGCGATGGATTCGCAAATGACCGACCAGACCGATTTGGGAGGTAGAGGTGCGATCGCAATTAGGACGGGTATGAACCGAGTCCACACTACTGGTGTTGGCGGCCGTGAGGTTGATGTTTGTCTGTTTGTTAAGATTGCGTGCAGTGACAGTGAATGCAGGGGTTGTCCTAGCGGTTGTTAAGGCGACGGAGGAGGGTGGCAGTAGATGTTCAGGAATGCGGTCATTGTTGATTATCGGCGTGAGGTGCGAAACAGAGGTGGAGAAGGGAAATCGGGTGGTGTCGTCCGAGTGCTGCAATTGGCACAAAGATGTCCACTGAGATCGATTGGTGTCCGGAACGTCCGCTGTCATCATGAGCAAGTCGGGGACGGTTGATTGTTGGCGTGGCGACGCGGGCAAGAAGAGAGAGAGAGATAGAGAGAAAAGAATTCGCTTTATTTCAAAATCACAAATTCAACATTTTCAGCTAAAATTGGCTCCATTCACTATTGGCAGTAAATAAGTTAATAGAGTCAGAGTCAAAAACGTTAACACGAAAAGAACGATTGTTATGAGGATAGTTCACGTCTTTGGCTCTGTATATCTATTTCTTCATACGTAGGATAGTGCGCCAGGAATGGCAATACAGAAGCCCGAAAAGCCGATGTGCGACAAGACATGAGTCGGAAACCGCAGCGCATCGGGCGGGAAGACTACGCAGAAATAAGATTAGAATGGGAGGGATGGGCAACGTCACCTATAATCTGACCAGCAAATTGCTTGACCTATTGAAATACCGTTGTATAATAATATTGACTGAAAAAGATAAAAAGCCGCAGCGGCTGAAGAGAGTATTTGAAGAACTCGTTTTAAAATTGAAAGATCCTTGTAGGGCAAAGCAGGAGAAATGGCAGAAGAGCAGTATAGGATAAGAGGAAGAATGCAGGCATCAATGAATCGCCAGACAAAGGGTTGAGGTCTGTGTCAGGAACGTAAACAGCGAATGTAATAAAGAAGCTTATGAACTTCAGTAGATAGTGACTCAATATGGAAGGAAAGTGAAAAATTTGATGAAAAAGTAGCGCCGAGGTACCTGAAATAGGATGCCTCGTTAGAACGGATATCAGAAGATTCAGGACTAGGAGAGAGCCACAGTCGGAAAATACACTGGACCAATTTTTGGCTGTTCATTAAGAGACCATTTTCCTCCGACCATACAAGGATATGGTTTAGGCCATCCTTTAGAAACTTGAGGTGTGTCCGACTTTTGAGATGTTGTCCAGCAACCACATCCTCAGCATAGTTAACTAAAAGACAGCCGTAAAGGGATCTTAGATCGTCGGTGTGGAAAGAGAAAAGGGGAGGGATAGAATGGAACCTTGAAAAAACCCGCAGTTATTGGAAAGGACCGTAGCTTTCCGCTTACCAGATTGGACAACTTGCCTGCGGGAAGTAAAATGATTTTTAAGCCAAGAGACGATTCAGTCTGGAGAACCATATGCGGATATTTTGGTAAGGAGAAGAGGGCACGTGGCGGTACTGAAGGCAAGGAATTAGTCAGGAAACGCGCATGCGTACTTGCGGCAACCATTTTCTAATTCTTTTAGAGCAGAGTGGACCACAACAGCAACAGCATCTAAAGTACTGCGTTTGGATTTGCATGCAAAATGTAAAGAATCGGAAAAACAGGAATAAAAAAAGTTTTACAATATGTAGGGCATCTCTTTCAGCGAGCTTTAGTAGTGCGAAGAAGCAGGCAATTGGACGAAAAGATTTAGAACTAAAATTTAGCGGTTTTTTAGGGATGGGAATGATTCACACTGTATGCCAGGCGTTGGGAATCTTGGACTCCATGAAAGACATGTTAATATGGTGCGGTAGAATAGGGGCTATCAGAGAACAAGATTTAAGAAGAAAAGGCGAGACACCATCCGGTCCGGCAGCCGTTAATCTACGGACATTTTAAGGTCTTTCTCTATTTTTGTCACGAACATGGGTTGGAAGAGGCATGATGATAGGGGAATGTCATCTGAAGGAAGGTGGTAGTCGTTGTGACTACATATTAAATTTTTATTTAAGCAGTCTTAATAAGCATCCATATGTACCAGTGTGTTGCAATGGATTCTTCCAAATTTCAAAAGAGGAAAGGGAAAAGGGGCAGGGAAGAAGAAATAAAAAGTTGGCAAACAATTGGGTTATTTGTCCGGTCAATCTCTGTTTTTATTAAGGCGGTAACGTCCTAAAGGTTATCACGTATGCCTTGCTTGTAAAGATGTTTTTTTTGTCTTAAGCATTTCAGATAGGGAGAAAAAATTCGATCCGGTCGTACCATAACAGTCTTAAGAGGATAGCAACTATCAAAAATTTCATTTACAAACGGTGCCAGGTTGGAAGAACAGGATTCAACATTCGATTATTTAAGGAAAGAGGAGACAGTATTAGATATGCAAGTCTAAAGCAGGCGAATGTTTTGTGCGGACATGTTGCGAACCTTAACCTTCTTCTCAGGCTTGGCTAACAGTACACGTTTAGAGGTGAAATAAATTTTCGGAAGACCCAAGAAAGTAGAATGATCAGAAACTGACAATGGATCATTATGTGTGACGCAAAAAGCTTGGTGTGGTTGGTCAGAATATGATCAAGAGGGTTATCTGCGCGAGTATTGAAGAAGACAAGATCATGAAGGCTTAAAAGTGTAAGGAGATGTAAATTCATGCGATTAAAATAGCCGCATAAGAGAATAAGGTATTCACAAGACAATATAGCACGTTTTGTGAAAGAAAATCGAAAAAACGTGTAAGAACACCTTCAGAGGTGGAGGTGGAATGCAAGGGAAAATTTCTTTGACGAGCAGCGACAGCTGTACTTCGGCGCTTCTGTATGGACTATCCCCAACTTCAAGAAAGAAATTGGCGACTGATATTATCCGATACCGTGCTTCCCCTCCCTTCTTGACGGTTGAAAGTTAGCCGCCAGCAGTTTTTTTTTACAAACCATAAAACCACCATCAACTATATTTTTATTCCTTTTCCACGGGAGTTTTTTTTACTGCTGGCCGAATTTGTGTTTGCCCCTCCTCTGACAATGCATATAAATTGGCAGTAAGTAAAATTTATTAGTTTTATTATGTACTAACAAATATGATGCCTTTAAAATTACTTAATAAACGGGGCTTAAACAGAACAGCGATGACGTTTATTAAATCAGCAGAGTAAGAAAATAAGGACTTATAGTCTCTACACCAAGTTTGCCTAACAAAGATGGCAACGCCTCCACCTCTGCCTCAAGATAAAGACTGTCTGTCCGTTCCAAACAGAAGAAAGATGGAGGAACTCCTCCTTTACTTACTAGTAAGAAGATGCGGATCAATGTCACCATTTAACCATTTCTCATGAAGGCAAATCACTTCAGTTCTACTATGTTCTTTTTTTGACAAAAGCAGCTCTTAGTCGTGGGCTGTGTTGAAGACAGAAGGATAATTTGTCGACAAGAAGCCTGGAATTAACAGTTTGTTCCATGGCTGACGCTTGAATGCGAGTTGCCATCTCCATCAGTGTTTTTCCGATGCATAGGCCTTTTCTGACGCAAATTTGATAAATTTAGCACAGAACAATCGCAAATACGACATGTTGACCGAAAAATGCAGCAGGTTGCATGATGGACATTCGATAGTGAAATTGACGATTTAATTCCCCTCAAAAGGCTGCCAGCGTCCTGTAGAGACGACCATATAATCTTAGTTCAGACAAACAAGGGATGTAAAACAGTTCAATATACCTAAGGGGAATAGGCCTAGTAATGCATAATTTATAAAAATCCACACGTGAATGGGGTACTACAAAAATGGAGGCTCACATTCAAAATTGAAGATGTTCAAAGGCATTTTACTAGAAGACTGTTGAGTAAGGAAAATACCAATCCGTCTTTTTAAAACATATGCCAGATAATTAACTTCAAATTTCTATGGGTTTAGCGACTGAAAGTCAGCTATTGTCTCCCTTTTCACATTAAAAATAAAACAGGTTTTTTATAGTACCCCTTGGGCACTGTCAGTCTCCTTTGAATACCGGAAAAAATCTGAACTTAAAATAGTTTAAAGTTTTCTCGGATTTCAGCCCTTACGCCTGTTAGTTGTTCATACTACCCCGTTATTCTTCCTTGATCGTATCTGCCCTGCCTCCTCCATCTCTAAACGATCCCTCTTCCTTGCCCCCAGGTAGATATTTCGGCGCGAATACAGTGTCGCAACAGTGAAGAAAACTTTTTCCCCCGTCTACCTGTCCTACGGGAATGGTGGTAGGAGGGGTTCTACGGGTGGGGCCTCTAAAACGTGCCAAACAGCAAGTAATGTAGTGCGCGATAATTAAAAAATTACATTGACGCCAAAATTTGTTTTAATGCATCAAACGAACCTCATATATGACCTTCACGCAGAAAAGCAGCCTATGGGAAGCCGGGAGTGGACCTAGGACATCATGCGTTAACGCTATTGGCCGGGTTAGAACGGAAGCCGTAGTGGCCAGAGACCTGACCAATGGGCTGGTGGGAGTGCGTGTGTTTTGCGCGCTGGGCGGGAGGAAATTAATGGCGCAGGGTTTGCCGTTTTCTCTGGAAAAAGCAACAGCAGAGAGGCATCGGATGCGTGATAGTAGTTATGGCCAATGGATGCCATTGCGCCGTTCACGTACGCATACGACCTCCATGGCGGTAGGGCGAGCAGGGACGAAAAGCGGTTGATTAGGTAAAGCAAGTTCGCTAATTATGGTGTGCCTATGAACAGGTAGGACAGAAATGCAGTATATAGTATGCTGTATGGGGAGGCATATCGAACCCTAGGGAAGGGTAAGCGGAGACTGTGTAATGTGGGCATTTTAAGAAGATGATCACGCTCTGTCCTAACCTGCCTACGCACTGGTTAATGAAGTAACCAACTGATGTAGTAGCATGAATTTTTCGCATTGAATCAATTATATTTCATGGAAAACATGCATAAAAATATGCACTTGTTGCCCATTTGGTACAAAATTACGTCTCTTACCAATTTTACACTCAAATTCGGTTGGAAAAAGTTCCTAATTATGACATTTTTTAATAACCGTGGAATGCCAATGCATAAAACACCGCTTCTCTGTAGATGCTGATGTTGCTTGTAAAGTTTACAATATGGTTCAAATCCACTGCTGAATTCTGTGGACCGCCTATGGTCTCCTCTTAATACCAGAAGGTTTTCCGTACGCGGAAAATATATGGCCCGAGTTTCTGAAGCCGAAATGTAAGTTTAACTGCAGGTCAGGTTCGAAATTATGCGAGAATTGGAAAACTCTTCGAAAACTGAATTAAAGCCTTCCTTTGAGTTTTAAAATGTGGAGGAT